GGTGGGGGGGGGGGGTTTTTTGTTTGGTTTTTTTTTTCTTTTTTTTTTTTTCTTTTTTTTTTTCTCTCCCTTAAAGTCGCCTCCCAGTCTCCTGGAGATGTGTGATTTTTATTTAAGCGGATGGGGGGTGGGGAAAGGAGGAAGAGTATGTTTTGGTTTGTTTTCCTTTTTCCCGGGGAAGCCTGGAGATCTCCTGCCGAGGGAGACCCCTCCAAGCAGCGCCGGGGTGGGGGGGATGCTGGGATGCCGGCCACCGGCCGAGCCGTGGGGGGTGCGGAAGGCGCCGCCGGCCCCTCTCCACCGTGGCCGGCCGAGATGGCGCCTTTGTCCGCGGCGGCCGCTAGGCAAGGCCGGGGATTGGCGGCCTAGTGCTGGGGGTGGGGGAAGGAGGTGAGCGGGGGCTCCCGCTCCACCCGTGTGGGAACCGGACCCTGGATTTAATTTTTAAAGCGAAACAGGGGAGGGAGGGATGGCTGGGTACGAAATCGAGAGTAAATGGCCGAGGGACGGGCAGAGTCACCCTACTGCCCCCTCCTCATGCCCCGGCTGCAATGCAGGGCCTGGAGGGCAGGGATAGGAGGAAGAAGGGTGGCCCACGGTACATGGAGGTGTTACGTGTGGAGTGCGAGGCTGGGGGGGAGTGGGAAATACGGTGATGGGGGGAGTGGGAAATGGGGTGATGGGGGTCAGGGTTGTCTGTAGAGGCTTTGGCCTCCTTCTCCATCCCCTTCCTGGGGAAACATGTGTTTGATGCTTTTATTTTCAGCTGGGGGTGAGGGAGTCATTCCCACCTCACCTGGAGGTATTGCTGGGTGAAGCTGGTGGCACCCTGATGCCAGCCACCCCGATGGTGCTGCAAAGCAGGAGCGGGACTAGTGGGGTGTGGAAGAGCGGCCACCTTGGGGTGGCCAGCACCTGGAGAGACAGGATTGTTAGAAAGAGCACAGCGTGGTGGTGGGGACTCTGACAGCGTTCTAACCCAGGGAGTGGGGCATGGCAGGGATCAGCCATGGGAGTGAGCTGAAGCCCATATTTGTAGTGGACTGTGTGGCTTGTCCTTTGCTTGATGTGACTCCGGTTACACCTTCTGCTGCACCACCAAGGTGGCCAAACTGCAGCCAGTGAAAGACTCCATGTTTGCAGGCTAGCACATCCCAGAGCCTTTTGCCTGGAGGAGAGTGCACAGACCCTGGGGCTGAGCTCCTGTCTCAGCTCTACAACCTGCCACTTATATCTTGGTGCACTTATTTCTGTCTGAAATGTTGCAGTCAAAGCCTGGGAGTCGGTCAAGTGTGAACTCATTGCCATCCCAGAAACACAGTATGAAAAACTTTGCCCAAATTCATCTCTGGCAGGGCTGGAAATAAAACCCAGGTCCTTGATAAGATAAATTGAAGTCTTACCATTCACCTCGTAGTGTCTCATAGAGCTTATCTACCCAGTTTATGATTGAGTCACCATGATTACTGGCTCTTGCTTCCTCCTGAAGGCAAGAAAACCATTTTGCCTATCTGCAGCATTTTATTTCTGTCTGGTAAATAGTTTGTAACTCATTGACAAGCTATGAATAAAGTCCTCTCTAGATGCTGGACCAGAAAGGATAAACATCTCCGGACTGAAAGGATAAGAGCTTTGTAGTGGGGATATAAATACTCTGGATTTGAGTTGTGCTGGTGATTTGAGCAGACAAGTCTGAACAGACAGATTTGGTGGGGGGGAAAAAAAATAAGGACACTTAGGCACACTGCTTCATGAAATGTTTTCCGCTGTGTTTCTAAAAATATTTGAAAGGCTGAGAAAACAAAAGCTAAACAGGCTCTGCGCTTAAAATTAATTATGCATCAGCCGTGGTATTGGTGTGCAGCAGAACTGGAGTGTTGCACGTAGGGGTGGCTCGCTGTGTGTTGGGTTTGCTCGCGTAATGAGTGTGCATCTTGGTCCAAGGGTCGAATGAGACACGGCGAAGAGCCTGGAATGAACGAGGGAAAGCAGAAGTGAACTGAGTTTGCCAGGGAGGTAGCAGGGCAGGAGGTGTGAGGAGCAAAAGGAGGAGTCCGCATGGTAGCCTCCAAGAGCGACGAGGCAGACAGGACAGGGGAGAGGTCTGCCAGGAGTGGAGGAGGCTGCTGGTGTGGAGTCAGATCGAAAGGGAAAGGTGGTTGTTCCCGAGAGATGTGAAAGAAGTTGTTAGGGCAGCAGCATGTGGTGCGCGTTTTGAGGGTGTTGCCACGAGGAGATGAGTCTTAGGTGCAAGGTTGTGACATAAGCGTGAAGGCGTGACGGAGCTTTAGCAGTGGAGGCTGGTCACCCACTTGCAAGGAGAGGGGAATATGGGGCAGTGTGAGGGAGTAACAGTCAGGAGGGGAGATCAGGCCTGTGGTTTATGTCTAAAGAAGGCAAAGGAAGGTCTTGGGTTGGAGAACATTCACTGTGGAAGATGAGGGTAGGACTGCAGAAAGTAAACATCATGTGGGGCACAGAGGGTTTTTTTTTTACAAGGGTTTTGTAGCTAGGATCAAAACTGTATCTGAGTATTGTGGGACTTATAGTAAGTTGGTCAGCCATCCACATGAGGCAAGGATGGACATACACATGTTGGATGCGGTAGCAATGGTGCTGAGGAGAGAAAAAACAGAAGAGGAGCTCCAGGATACAAGGAGAATTGGGTAACTCAAGGAAGGAGACGTTCTGGAGCCTTTCCCTGTGGTTCTTTGGCTCCACTCCAGCTTTTGGATGTTTGAATGCCCTTCTCTGTGGGCAAGCAACAGTAACCAGTTCTCATTGTAACACATGCCCACATCCTGCTGTGCGGTATGTTTTAGCAGTAGGGTCAGGGTAGCTAGGCGTGCAGGTACTGATCTCTTCTTTGCTCCTTGCAGTAGTATTTTAAGAGCTGAGTTCAGAAGCAGAGGTTGAAGTAGGCTGTGTGTATCAGAAGCTTTTAAAGGTGGCAGTCTGTTTTGTGGATATACACAATCGTGAAGGTGTGCCACAGCATTTTTGGAGTGGAGCCATTGACTTTGTCACGACCAGTCACTATTCAGCTGCTCTCCTCACAGTTGCTAATAATCTCCCTTTTCATCAGATCTGTAGGCTGCAGCTTCACTTCCCTGACTTTTGTTCTCTTCAGTGTGGCTTATGTCAAGGAGCAGCAAGAGCAGGGCTGCTCCTCCAAGGAGGACAAGCTAGGAGCCAAAGGTGAAGACAACCACGAGCAGTGCCCTCACTAAGTAGCATACAGTCCCACCATACCTGAACAGTGCAGGCAGAACAAGATGCTGATAGCAAGGGTCCATTAGCAGTCCCAAAGAAGATGAGGTGGTGAATTGTGTTCAGGGTCCACCCATAGAGTCCAGCAGTAGGAGATGGTCCAGAGACAGGGCTGGAGACAGGCTGCCTACAGTATAGGTCCAAGGTTTAGCCAGGAGATAGGACTGAGGACAGGTACACCTACAGTATAGCTCAGATGAAGCAGTATGCCTGGACCTGAGCTTAAATGAAGCTCCTGTACCATGGGCAGAACGTGTCGGGTTGTGACATGAGGCTGTTTGGGGTATTTAAAGCCTGTTAGTGCACTCAGGGCCCAGACAGCTAGAAATTCCTCCTTCCTCCCTGTCCTTTTCCCCATTAGCCTGTATGAGGGTTGACCTTTTAACTCCTCTTCTCCCCCTGCAATTTATCTCTTGTCAGTTACCGTGGTGGCCCTTTACCCGCTTTTGTCTCTGATGGCCCTTGCAGTTCTCTCCTCCAGTGCTCTGGGGTTGCTCTGTGGTCTTTTGTGGCTTTCACTGCTGTCTATGTGGAAATGGTTCCTACTGCTCCTCTTCACCTTGTCTGTTCTCTCATCTTTTGTCGTTGTAGAATTTCATGCAAGGAGAAATATCAAATGAATTGCCTCTGTCTCTTTTTTCTACCCCTCAAGCTGGTCTGCCTGTAGTGTTAGTGATCATATTAACCTTACAGTCTCCTTGTTAAATTTCCTTCTTTCTTCCTGATTGCTCATTATCCAGGCTATTTATAAATCATTCCAGGCCTTCTGTTGGTGTTGTACTCAAGTCTACCTGCTCTTCACCATCGCTTCTGTTAAAAGCCTTTCTAGAGATGCTGATCATCACTCAGCTTGTTTGCTGGCTTTTCCTTTCTTGCTGTGCTTCCCATCCCATTCCAAATGCAGCTGCTTAAAATCTTCTACCTGCTGCTCAGACCAGATTGCTCTCAAATTTAATGTCTGATGACTTAGAAACTGCACAGTGTCACTTTCAAGCTCTTGCTTCCTTTAGCTACCACTGTCTTTCTGGTCTTTCTCTTGCTCCTGCCTTTCCCCCTTCCTCCAGCTCTCCTTCTTGGTAAAGGGCAGGTATCAATTTTTCTACATTTTGCATGGTGGAAAGCACAATCAATAAGGGCTTGCTGAGTTGTCAGGATTGATTTTCACATACCTTAAAATTCCCTTCATCCTGTTCCAAACTGAACATGCTAAAGATCCTGTAAGATACCTTAGAATGATAGGGATGGTCTTCATATAAAAGGGAGCTGTTGTAGTATGGAGTTAGAGGAATTACTTTTGTTTTTATCGTGATCTCTTTAGAGGTGATGCCAGGTTGGGAGGGCACAGTGTCTTCAGCTCCATCTCATCTCAGTGTTTCTGTGCTTGCTGCCTTTGTCCTCAAGTTACTGTTCCTCAAATGCTGAGTGTTGTTTGTGATCACAGCTGGTTGATGTCAAGGCTGGGAAAATTGCTGTTGCCAGCAATTCTTATTTTGCCACAGAGTGACATCCCTTCTCTTCTGTATTCCTTTCCTGTGTGGCAGACCTGCGTACCTTGGGAAGAGGTCCGGGAGGAGCCGTTCCAAGATTTGCCCCCAAACTGCAGGGGATGATACTCATGTGTCTAATGGTGTGATTAAAACCTGTTTTAGTTGAGAAAAGGAACATTGCTCCAAAATGGTTCCATCGTACTACTTGTTTGTCTGTGCTCACAGAGACCCAAACTGGATTTGGTCAAACTCAGACAAGTTACTGTGCCCATTTGTGTCCCTGACTAAATGGGGATAACTCTCTCTTGAGCCTTCCTCAGGCACTACCCACCCCAATTTAAAACACTGCAGGATGGGGTCCTGTCCCGTCTTCAAAGGAGCATTCCTGAATCTCTGCTGCTCTTGCCTGCTGATTTTCAGCACAAAATTCCCACTGTATAGATTCATTGCTGCCCTTTTATGTGGACAACAGCAAGCAATTCCATCTCCTTCCTTCATGTCTCTCTCTGTGATATGTCTCCAGACACCTTACATAGATTACTTTTTTCGTATACTGTGCAGTAAACCAGTTTAAAGCTGGCCCAGATAAATAGTGGTCAGAATTGCCTGTTATGGGAGGGTCCCAGCACAAATTCCTGAAATGACTACCAGTGCAGGGGAAATGTTGATTTTTATTTTTTTTCCCTTTCCTAGAAGGCAGTCATGATAACAGTTGGTTACCATTGCTTTATTTACTGGCAGCCTAAGCAGAGAGCTCAAATTGAAGTAATTCTTCCTTGCCCGTGTATCCTGGTGGTGGCATGTGAGAAAAAGCAGATAACTTGGTAGTGAGCTGCTTGCTGTTCTGTATCTGCAGAGTGGATAAATCATAGACTCTGGTGTTCAGGGCATCTGGTCTGGTACATTTTGTTAGTAGTAAATTCAGGCACACACAAAATACTGTGCTGCTTAATCGCCAGCAAGACCTAAAATGACTCATTTTATGTTGTTTCTTTTTCCTCTTCCTCTGCAGCAACTACAATGGAGAGACAGAAGAGAAAACAAGAAATAGAGAAAGGACTTCAGTTCATTCAGTAAGTGGACAACCTCATTGTTTGCTGTGGCTTTGGAGGCAGTTGTCTTCGATTGAGGATTGCAGGATTCACTGATTTGGGTCTGCTGCATGGGAAAGAGTTATTGGTCCTGAAGGTTTTCACTGTAATTATTCAGGATGCTGCTTGTCCTGCCAGCTCTCTAAACTTGAAATTCTGTCATTCTGATTGCCTTGGGTTTTGCCCTCCACTACAGTTCCAGACTGACCTTTGTAGTCAGCATAATGCTAGTAGTACTTGAACCTTCATCTTCAGAGTGAAGACCTCAAACTGCTCTCTCAACAAGGTTATCCCACCTTTCTTAGGAAGGGAGATAATGTTTCTATCTTGTAGGTGTGGAAAGCAAGGTAGATGATTTGCCGGGTACCCTGCACGGTGCCTAAAGGAGAAATAGATCACCTAGGCTCTTTTTACAGTTGCCAACCTGGTAGCTGCCTTGGGTCACTCTTCTGTGAATATCATGTGGCCTTCTAGAGCTTGAAGTGGTTGCTTATGTAGTAGTTACAAGTCGAAGTACGTTCTTGTAAAGTACAGTAGTGTTTTTTTCTGTCCAGCGTTTGAGTTAGCAAAGGCCTCAGACTCAGGTCCAGGTTCCATGGTGAGTAAGGAAGTAGCAAGATTATAATCAGATTGGTTTGGGGGTTTTTTTAAGGTCTGCTTTAAGTCCTGCAGTTATTATGGCTGAAATCTGTGCATCTACAGTAGGAAAAAAAGCCAAATCTTCCATGTTACATATTTATATCCTGTGGCATGGCAGTGGTGTTTTTGCCCCAGTCTGAGACTAAATGGGGCTGATAACCCAGTTTCAGAGAGGCAGTTGTGAGGTTTATTTTGGTAACATTTATAAAAATGGACAAGATTCCTGGAGTGAAAATAATTTAGAAATATAGGGTGTCGTTCGTGCTTCTGGAGTGTATCTTGAAGTGTGAATCAGGGACAGTGTAATTTGTTGGCTTGTTTTGATGTGGAAGAGGGGTACTCAAATTTTATAAGCAGAATGAATGTTTCTTCCAGAGCCATGGTATTTCCTGTAATTAATTTTAAGGAGCAGATGATTATTAGATTAGAAGACATCTAAAAAAAAGTTTATTCTCTGACCAGCAAGATCATGTATGGAGTATTGAATTTCAAAGGTGAGGAGGGCTATGAAAGGTGCTAAGAATTTCTCTACAGCCTATTGTTTTCTCCTTGAAGAGAAAAAATAAATACATGTAGACCAAGCTTCGATGACTTGGATGGTCCGATTTGAAGAATGGAATTTTTTTCCTAAGTCTCAATGCTATTGTGGGGGAGGTGTTACCCACACAAGTACTGCTGGTTTTGTGGCACAGCCTGGCAGCCTCGACCAAGACAGCTGGAGTTAAATGGCCTCCCCAGCCTGTGTTGTTTGTGGTGTACACCTAAAGGCATGTGGCTAAATTAAGAAAGAGGAAAGTGATTAATTTATCACAGAATGTCTTTGGCCTCACAGAGGATTTGGGGAGGTCTTGGAGTGCGGGTTTGGTGCCTCTCATTAGAGCTAGATGCTCTTAAAATGTGCTTGTATTCTCTGTGACAATCTCTCATGGGACTTTCTCAAAGATGTTTTTTTTAGGTGGCTGTCTGAAGGCACATTACAGAGAATCATGTATGTGCAGAAAATAGCTGAGAATAAGATTCCTCTGGTCTCAAATCCCTTTGACATCTCTTGACACCACTGTGGCCATCACTGAGTGAAATGCTCCCTAATTGTGTTCTTTTTGCCCCAGCTGCCTTTGAAGGGATAAAGTGTTGAGTAACTCACTGAGATCTTCAACACAGGACCAGAAGGATGATTTTTTCATTAGACAAAAGCCCTTTTTTGCATGAGTGCCTGTTTCACGAGTGTTTTCTCTTCTTTTTTTCAGGTCCACATTACCCCTAAGCCAAGAAGATTATGAGGTAATGAAGAATTTGTTTTCTGATGTTGGGAACCTGCTGGTTAGCTAGATTTGTTCTGTTGCATTGCAAAGTCATTAGTTTACATACCAAAAGTGTAGAGTGGGGGATGGTCTGTCACAATTTGTCTGTAACTTAAAAGTTTTAAGGTTCTGACAATGACAACTTTCATGGAAAGGAGAAGACACTTGAGTGTTCAAGAAGAAAGGAGATTTGATTGGATTATTCTCCTTTACCAAAAGACTGGTCTTTTACAGGAGGCTGGGGAGGCAGAATAATCTCAGTGGGCCGGAAGTTTGCGAAAACCTATGGCAAGGAATGGGAAATTGGGAGACCTCTCCTGTCTCTTGAATGTCCACTTCAGTCTATTTGCTCTTTGTCTGCTGCCCAGGCCTTTTTGCAGAAGCTGGTGAGAAACCTGTTTGCAGAGGGCAATGATTTGTTTCGAGAGAAGGATTTCAAGCTTTCGCTGGTACAGTATGTAGAAGGGCTGAATGTGGCAGATTATGCAGCCTCCGATGAGGTGACCATCCCAAAGGAACTCCTGTGCAAGCTGCATGTCAACCGAGCTGCCTGCTACTTTGCCATGGTGAGTGCCTTCCCCAGTCATCCACAGGGGCCTGGGTGGACATCATGGTTGGAGTGTCATGCAGCTGGAAAAGATGTCGAGGGGTTTCACTTGATTTTGTCTGCTCTCTTCTTCAACACTGGAAGAGATGATGATACACAGAAAACTGTGGTATCTCCCCACTATTGCACTGTGTCTTGTGAGACCAGAAAAAGGATGTGAAGAAGAGGGGACCAGTACTAAGGTACTGAGAATGCAGTTCTGGTCCATGTTGGTGAGGAGTTAATCTGGAGATTGGAAAGAGCCAGTGCCTTCCAGTATTGACTGAGTATTTCTCTGGAATACTGGCTGAGTATTGCTCTGGAGGCTCCTGCCTTCTCAAGTGAGGCACTGGAAGATGGTGAGAAGGCTTTGGGTCTTGATGGAACTTTCAGAGCACACATGGAAAAGGATTCTGCAATACTTAGGCTCTAAAAGGCTGCATACTTCCATTTTCCAAAGGAATCTTAACAGCTTTCCTTTAAGGCACAACCCTAGAGCAGGTCCATCCTGTTCGTAATGAGGCTGAGTCCCATGAACAAAATTAGCCAGCAGTCACATAATTAGACACTGTCAAATGTCGCATGCCCAGGGTAGAGGGGGAGACGAGATGAGATTGCTCGAGCAGCCTTAGTTCTGGCATTCACTGACTTCAAAGTATTTTGAGTTTTGTGAGACTTAACAAAATGTTCTATTACTGTAGGTTTTGTGTGTTTGTACACTGGTCTGTGCATGAGGTAATACATATATTTTCAACTGCCTTTTATGTTCCTATTTTCTGCTGAGAGATAAAAAATTTTACATTCACACAGAAGGAGGGCTTAGCCTGCTGTGTCTCAGCTGACTCGAGGTGTTCTCTTCCATGCAGGGGTTGTATGAGAAGGCACTGGAAGACAGTGAGAAGGCTTTAAGTCTTGACAAGGAGAACATCCGAGCCCTCTTCCGTAAAGCCCGCTGCTTAAATGAACTTGGAAGACACAAAGAAGCTTATGAGTGCAATAGTCGATGCTTGCTGTCCCTCCCACATGTAAGTTTTTGACACACAAACATCTTGATTTCTGTGGCTCATCACCTTCCTCCTCCGTAACATGCTTAGTGTGAGGCCAGAGGACAGTAGTAGAGGAAGCTTGTCTGTTCCTGGGAACGTGCTTATGCCCAGAAATTCTGTGTCTCTTCAGTCCAAGTCACCATCACTGGTTAGCAACAGCAGATTTGGTGACCTGTTTGTGAAGAGCAAAATAAAATGTGAACTAAGGCCATGAGATTTTTTTAATTAGCTGGTTTTGTATATCTAATGGGAATAACTAGGAGCATGGGACAAATGGGAACTGGAGCACTGAAAGGAAAACATGCATATTTTTCCTGTTTTAGATAAAAATGTCTCATGTTTTACTTACGGATTGCTAAGGCAAGCTGATAGAGCTTTTTATTTCTTGTCAGACATGCGAAGGTGTTCATGACACCACATGCCATAGTTATTTTTCACAGGTGTGTGAATTTTTGCATTCAGAGGGACCATCTGCATATACTAGGCCCTGAATATTTTCCTGACGATGCTGTTGTTGAGTGCCCTTTTAAGCCAAATATTGACCAGGAAACCAGACTGCGATTCTAGTGAGCACTGCTTATCTAGTGAACCCTGCCTTCAGAGAGTGGGTGCTTTCTGGGAGGCAGATGCTTGATTCTGATTTTCTGCAGCATCAAAAGGATGTCGGGGGAGGTCCAGGTGCAACATCAGTACCTCAGCAGGACTGAATGACAAGAGCACTTAGGTCTGCATGGACTCTTCTAGGGCTTCTCTGACAATTGTCCACCTGCTGCTGTCTAAAAGTGAGGCTTCTTGGCACAGCCCAGTGTGGATAACTGCATTCCTGTTTATTTCATTGTGTGCACTGCAAAGGCAAAACTGAAAGTGTCCTGCCAATGGTTTTTGTCACCAGGATGAAAGCGTCACGCAGCTGGGACAGGAGCTTGCCCAGAAGCTGGGACTGAGGGTTCGAAAAGCATACAAAAGACCTCAGGTATGACTTCTTTTTTCTTAGAGACTATTCCTTGGCTCCTTGAGATTTACTTTTGCAAAAGTGGTAGGTGCTGCTCTGCAGTTACGGACACGCGTCCACTACCCTGCAATCCCTTTAGCAGGCTGCTGGCTGTCCTCCTTGTCCTGACCCTCTGACTTGCTTTACCTTGATTCATTTCTAGTCCCATTGCTGCTCTGCGGGAGAGGCCTCCAATGCACTGGGAGCCTGTGTTTTTGGAGGAGAGGGACATGTGGTCTCGTGACAAAGGAGGTTTTGGCATCACAAGTCTTTTCCCTGTCATGGAATGAGGAGGGTGGGATCCTCTGCTGCCTTGGAGACATGGCTGGCTTTGTAGTGTGATGGGTCATGAAGGGCTCCTGCCCCATATCCAGGTGCACGCTTTCTTTGTGGTGGGGGAGACGCCTGTGCTTTGGGAGAACAACAGATACACATCTGGGCAGATGCTAGGAAAGAAGGCAGCAAAAAGTGAGTCGTGGGTCCAATTGAATGATGCCAGTGGCTGGACACATAAGCTGGCTCCACAAGAAAGTGCTTGTGCTTGGAGTACTGTTGCTGTTTGAATGTATACCCTGGGATGGAGCTAGAGGGCGTTAGGCCACCGCTAGCACTCTTGGATAAAGCTGCCTTGGTCACGTAAAATCCCAGGATGTGTTTTCAGGAGTAGGGAACATGAGCTAGCAGTCGAGGTTTAGGCTTGCATTCGTATCCCAGCCCAGCATGTTCCACCTCCAGTAACGTGATTGGCGGGCATCCAGTTTGCAGAGAGCTTTTGGGGTAAGTATGGCTGTAGCATCTTAGTCCTCTCTGTCACCAACCTCACATGTGATTGGCCTACCCCAATCCTTGATGTTATAGCAGCTCTCAACACTCCAAAATGATTCTATCTCAAAGAAAGGGAAGTTTTACGTGGAAATACTCTTTGTAGCTGCTCACTGTTGGCTTTGCCTCCTTTTTGCTGCTGTCGTGTTATGGGCTGTGATGGGCTTAAACCACATGTATGTTAGAGAAATAAAAATTAAAAACTGCAAAATGCATTTTGTTATTTGAAATTTAGTGATCGGTATTTTGATAACACGTTGCTATCTCTTGCATTGACTTCCAGCTTCCATTTGCAGCATCATGATGCCTTCCCAAAGTAGTAATTTCTTAATGAAAGGACAAAAACTTGTGTTCTTCAGATAAGTTTTGTGCTTCCTGATTGAGTATTGGATGTTGGGTGTTTTGCACTGAGGTCTCCAAAACAAATAGATGGTCTTTTCAGTTTTCAGAAAACCGTAGCCTTGTGTCACAGTGGTATGTCTTTTGTGTGGCTTTCGTTTATGGGCAGTGCCTGGAAGGAAACTGTATTGTAACCCAGGTTTACCTAGTTTACGAGCGTTCATGGGCTGTCTCTGTTCTAAGACCTCTCTCTTTCTTGCAGCAGGAATTGGAAACATTCTCGCTACTCAGTAATGGCACGTCAATCAATTTGTCAAACCAGGTAGAGTTTGCGTCCGCTGATTGTTGCTGTTCATGAATTGTGCTACTAGAATGCTTTGCAGTTTTATTTACATGCAAATGTATGACTCTCTTTTATGATTTAAATGCATTAATTAGTGTTTTCAGCTTTTAAGGAATATTGCCAAGGAAATCAATGTCTTTTAAAATATTTCTAGTGAAAACAATTTTGATGTCAGTAATTAGATCATTGAAGATGAGTTATTTTTCTTAGTTATTGTGAATGTTTGCGTTCTCTTGCATTTTAAATACGTTTTCATTTTCAAGTTTTTACATAGTTAGGGCAACACTAAGTAAAATTCAGAAAGTGCAACTGCTGAAGAAACATACAAAATTGAGTCATGGGCATGCGATGTACTGAGCAAGGTACATACACAATTTATGTATTCTTTGTATTGTCCTGTCACCTGGGAGATCCAGCTTGGGCAGGGCACTGTACAAATACTAAGTTAAAATATAAGAAATTGCTCATTTCCTTGTTCCACAACTAGCCAAAAAAACACCAACCCAGAAACGTGCTAGTTTTACAGGATGGTTGGTACTTCACACTGCTCTTTCAAGCAAACAAACTATAAACCAGTAAAAATTGATGTTTTATTCAACAAGATGGGATACTAAAGAATTCATTTACCTCTTACTGCTCAGTGACTTACGTTCACATCTTTCTAGGAGAGCCAGTCAGCTTATTTTAATAGTAGTGCCTAGTTTTTAATTTGAAAGTCTTGCCTTTTGCAAGCAATTAGAATAGGGCAAAAACTGGAAGTTGCAAAAACTGTTGCAGTAGATACAGTATCTCAAGAGTAATGCTTTACTTGTGCCTTTTTAAGTTTAAGCTGAGGGCACACATACTTACCTCTGTTTATGTTTCTGTAAAATATGGGCTCGTTTTATTCCTTGCCTGGAGCTCCAGGTCAGCAGTTGTCTTGGCCGAAACCTTTTCCTGTTTTGAGTTTGCTGTAAAAGTTTGTGGTTGTTAGATTGCAAAATATGTGAACTAAGAAAAGGAATGTTGTGTAAGATTAGGCTAATCAGATCTCGCACTGCATGGGGCTGACCGATTGATGTGTCCTGAGACTTGGGACACAGTGTTCTTATCCACAAATGAAAAACCCTATTCTAATGTACAGGTTTGCTCATATGGTCGGATATTGTGCAGGGCTGGTATTCCCTTTGCAGCATCAGGACTTGTCCGCTGCTGTAGGTAAAAATCATTAGACTCTTTGGATTAATGGCCTTTAAAAGTTTGTTGGTTTTACTGCTCTTGCACTGAAAGAGGCCATAAAGGAAAAAAAAAAAAAAAAGGACCAGATGCATTTAGGAGAGGTAGACAGTCTCATCTGTGAAGTGTGAATATCTCCTTAAAGATGAATTTCTGGTGATATTTTTCTCTCCCCTTTCTTACACCCTCTTTGCAGACCACTTCCAATGGATTGGGTTCGATAGATGACATTGAAACAGGTAAAGACATCTCTCTCCTCTGATTTTTGTGGCTTCAGTAAGGTATCTGACCAGGCTGGCAGGCCTGAGAGGTTCATCATCTTCATTTATGTCTTTTCTGCATACTCCTGGCTTTGGTAACTGGGAGAAGGGAAAAGTGGTGGGAAGCAAGAGTGTTTTTCCTGCAGAAAAGCTTTTTGTCCAGCCCCAGTGAGAGACATGTCTGGGAATTAAAAGGGTCTGCTGAGGTACGCAGCTCTCTCCAGTTGTGCTTTCTTAAAGCTGGGCTTGGCAAAGCTTCTGAGACTGTTCCCAGCCAAAACAGTCCAGATAAAGTGAAGTTAAGGTTGTAGGCAGCTGTTTGTGTGCTGGGCGCATATGGTCCTCCAAGACGTGGAGGTGGAGGAAACGAAAACAAAAGGGAGTTGGGAGGGATCCAGGGAGAGCTGTGTTCAGAGTTAGGCACCCAGGAGGAGTACAAGGAGGGTGACAAGGTTGCTTTTCTCATGCCGGGAAACAAGTGACCTTAACTCTGCCCCTGTAGAAAGGCTTGCTACATGCTTTGCCCCTTGTTGTGTGCTGGAGCATTGAATTCGTGTCTCTGAACACATCAGCCTTTGTTCCTCTGAAAGGTAGCAGTGTGTATGAAGGTAATTGTGAAGACTTACCACTGCAAGCAGCAATTGCTTTTCTTATAGAAAGAAACTATTTTCATTATTAGGGTGCTTTGGAAAACATGTTAGTTCTCTGTTGAATGCCGGTTCACTAACTGAATGCTATGTGCAATTGTGAGACTCAGTTCTGTGAATTAAGGAGAGCTTTTCATGTCATCTTGCTGTGCTAAAATGAACTGGACTCCTATTGCAGAGTAAAGAGTGACTGCATCTGGTAAGCTCTTTATCTAATCAGGATGGGGTGTAAGAGCAGCATGCCACCTTTGCTGCTGTTGAAGCAGAGAGAATCTTTGCTACTAGGAAATCTTTCCAAAAGCATTGAAATTATATGTTACCCATTGGCCTGAGAGTGGTGAGCCACCAGGAGGGCTGTGGGTGCTGTGTACCTCGAGAGGTTCAGATTCAAAGCTTTTTTAGCAAGGTTTTTTTGGTTGTTGTTTGGTTTGGTTTTTAAGATGTAAACTACTGAAGCCCCTTTCCCCATGCTTTGCCCAAACAGATCGTGGCTCAGGTCTGGCTCAGCATGGCCTTTGGCCAGCTAGTGCACTAGGGAACCACTGCTGTTTTGGAAAGCGGAGCTAGAAATAGGGCTTTTAAAAGCACTGTACTTGCCCCTCTGGGACAGGCAGGTGTATGGCCAGAGAAGCTACCAGGTGGGAGGGCATGGGATGAGAGACTTGGTTGGGGGAGCAGATGGACAAGACCCTTGCTGAACTTAAAATAATAATACCTGGCAGGAATCAGAGGGAGGCAGATGTGTGCCTGTCATCTGCTCGTCAAAGAAGGCAGTTCTATGTTTTTTAAGGTGGAACAAACACGAGGTGAATGCAGGGGGTGCATGAGCTTTCTGGAAAGAGAGTATGTGGGATGTGGCTGTGGTCGTTGGTGAGTGAGTTCAGCAGATGGGCTGTCCTGAGGAAAGCAGGCATGGGAAAGAGGGGATAGAGGAAATGATTGGGTAGAGGGGAATAGGAGGAAGTTGCTGAAGGAATGACAGGGTTTGAGTTGTCAGGAAAATGGGAGCAGATATCTCCCCTCTGCCCCTTGCAAGTAGTGAAACCTGTTGGTCCCTGCTCATCTCCTTGCCCTTCACATGCACTGAACTGGGGGGGATGCTTATTGTTCTCTGCCTTTTGGTCATGCATTCAGCTTTTCATGGTTTTGGGCCTCTTAGGGTGTGTGAGGGCCTCTTTCCTCTGCTTCCCAGCATGAGTGGGAACCAGAGGGCATCATTTGTTCCTCACAGAAAGTCTGAGCTTCTGGATCCTTTGGGGTTATGTCATTGTGAACCCTTTTGCGCCCCCCTGCACGTGTCCCGGTCCCTTCCAGCTTGTCCTGAATTTCTTGTTGGCCCCTGGAGGGATCTTGACAGTACTCCAGATTTAAACATCTGAAAAACGGGAAGGCACAAGCCGTCCCTCTGTACTGAGGGAAATCTGGCTGAGCTACCAGTGATGAGGCCAGCACTGAGGGAAGCTGGATGGCTGGCTCCCGAGTGCAGCTGGGGGGCCCACATCCAAGGGAGATGAGCCGAGAGAAGTCATTGCAAGGGGGGCATGGGATTGGGGCTGAGCCTGATCTGAGAGGCAGCTTGACCTGCAAAACTAAGGACACTTACAGGCTTCCTTTGAGCCACTGCCTGTGGAGAATGTGTCCAGTGGCAGCACTGAAAACCTGTGTTGGATCCCATAAGGTACAACGTGCTTTCCTTCAGTCATATGCATGAGATTGTGGAGAGGGACATGTGTCTGTCCCTTGTTGCTTCTCCCTGCTTTCCCTGACTTTTGCCACAGCTTGGTCTCCGGTGCCTTCCACAGTGACCATGGCTGTGGTCCATCCATGTGGACCACCTACAACAAATGCTGGAAGAAAGGTTGCAGGGGGTGGTGGTGTGCTCCTGGTGGGGTTAGAGATAAGAGAGCATGGGGGTGTGTGTGTCATCTCTGCTGTTTAGTTCAGGACTTATGGGTTTGCAGGAATTGCTCGTTTTGCTGAGCTCTCTAAGAAGAGCACCAACACAGTGTGTAAGATAGCAACATGGCTCACTCACCCAACCCAATTAGAAGGGGATGGCTGAGTTCCCATGGGGTTTGTGCAGAACTTGTACAGACAGACTGCAGCGTTTCTCACTGGATCAAGATTTGTGTCTTGGAAACTTGTCTAGTTTCCTTCCAGTTCTTACTAGTCTTTCTAAAAAAGCTGTTGTCTCTCCTTCCAAACTTTGCCTTGCTTTTACCCTTAGACTCTTGTAGCTACAGTGCAGCCACTACATGTGGATGGAGAAGGTAGCATCCTTGTCTTATTTCTTTTCTTTTGTTCCAGGACATCTGCACAGGGGCAGAATTAAGGTAGTTTGGGTGCTTGGTTTGAGAACTGTAAATGTAACGCTGCGTTTTCCAAATTTCTAACATTTGAACTTCTTTTTATTTTTAACCTTTAAATTTTTTTTGAGAATAAAATGCTCTTCTGTGAAAAATATGTGCTTGTAACCTTAACTTCACTTAACAGAGGTTTACATTGCATGATGGGAACATCTTACCTTTTCAGTAACGTACTGGAGAGGCAAGGAAGCCTTAGGGAAAATCACTGCCTCTCTCCTGCCCCAACCCTGGCTCACACAAGTTCCCAAGGGGATGTTTCTTGCTGAGGTGTTGAAGGGGGAGTGTGGGCAGCAACCCCCCACCTACAGACATCAGGAAGCACTCAAGAGCAGGGAGTTTACTTGGGTTAAGACAGCTGAGTGAGTCTAATGGGGTTTTCTGGGGACACATTGTTAGCACAACCTGGTCTGAGCACCCGATCTCTGACTCTCTTCCCTGGAGGACCTTGTGTTTTTTATCTTCTGCCATTTAGGATGCCTAAGGTTTTAGAGAGCTTGTGAGTAAGCAGCCTTTCAGCTGGGATATCAAAGCTCCAAGGAGTAGAGAAGGCAGTGATCTCTGCCAAATGCATTAGTGGGGAACATTAAAGAAAACACCAGGTGGTGGGTTATAGAGAAATTGGATTATGTGCCCCTGGCCTTTAGTCCTGGCCACAGTGAATTCAGTAACTGTTCAGCCACAGGTTTTGTGTTGTTCCTGGTTACTGTATGTGCTTGCCAAATCCTGACAGTCTGGGTGCTGGCCCTTAGAATGTATTTCAGCTATCGGTGAGCCATTAGAGACTGGGAAAGAAAATGGAAGGGCAAGAACTCTTCAGACCAGAGCCCTTCCTCTCAGAAAATTGACATACTTGGTTTTTGTGATGTGATAAAGTTGTACAATATTGTTTTTGCCAGGCTGTGCTCTGCTTGCCCCCTGCAAGAGGCTCTCCTGGGTGACTGGCTCTGTTTCTCCCTCATCACAGACTGCTCTATGGACCTGCAGTGCCTCCCGGCTCCTGTGGCCACCTCCATCCCTGTGAATGAGGCGCTGGCCCCTTTGCCCTCTGACTCAGATGCAAAGGGCTTGCCTACCTCGCTTCCTGCTTCCAGCTTGCTCCCATCTCCAGACTGCGTGTCCCTGCCAGGGCCTGAGAGTGTGGAGGACTTCACAGATGGGGACATCATTGGGGAAGAACTGGACTCCCTCCTGGACTCCCTTGCCGAAGGGTCACCTTACCCTCTAGTAAGCGTGGGCATTGCATGGGTCCCCTGCTTCTTGTTCCAAATAGGTCCTTGGAGCATGTGGTTATGTGTGTTGCCTCTTTCTTTGTGTCACTCTTTTCTCCTAGCTCTTCCTCTGGAAAAACTCATTCATTCCTTCCTTTATTTCCGCAACTGGCTTGTGAGTATCCTCACAGAGGAGGAACGCACCTCCAAGCCTGCTTTGCTGTGTGCAAGTTCATGGAGTTGCCCCTCAAAAGTACCCGAGATAGCCTTCTCCTGCCATCACCTTCCCCCTGGCTTCTCGTGTCCATGGAGCTGAAGCAGACCTGAGGGCAGAAATGAGCGTGCTGAAGCAGGAATGATGGATGTGTTTTATACAGTGGGCGTGCTCTAATCTCCTTATATTTTGTGCAGGCTGCATTCAGCCTAAGCTCTTTGAACAGGTCTGGGAGCTGTAGAGACAGTCTACAACATTCATGGTTATGTTGGGTTTTAGTTGCCAGTGTTGCTGACGTTATGCGAGCCAACTTGGGTCGGGAAACAATATAATTATATTTATGTAGGCCGCCTCTCGAGCCAAAAAGCTCTGGTGAGGGGTGCCACGAGTAACGGTTGTAACCCTGACCTCAGCGCTGTGTGTACAAAGCTGCTCTGCTCCTTGACCTGAGCTTAAACCTGAGCTGGTTTAAGTGCCCAGTGCAGGGCTCTGGCTTGCAGACTGATGAGCTCAGGTAGCCCAACGCCTCCTCAGGGACCTCGATCCAGACAGTGTGCAGTGTAGATAGATTGGAAGGTCGGTAAGAAGTCTACAGGCGGATGGAGCTGCCGGGAATACTTTTGCTTCACGCACTTGAGTGGGACCCTGTTGCTCCCTGTGTTCACTCATTCTCTGCTCATTGTTCCTAATGTGCTGTTTATCCTCCCCCTTCCCGATTCCCCAAAGTCTCTGGTCCAGGGCACCATTCCTACCAACCTGCCAACGGAGATGCCCCAGCTGATCCCTGTGTTTCCGGGGGGAACTCCGCTGCTGCCCCCAGTTGTGACAGCCAGCATCCCTGTCTCCACCCCGCTGCCACCTGCCTCCTTTGGCCTGGTGATGGATCCCACCAAGCAGCTCTCCTCCTCCTCTGTCCTGGATGCCTTTGAGGCCCCGCCGGGAGGAAGTGGTGGCTCCACCTTAGATTCGTTGGATTCCCTGGATCTGCTTCCTTACACAGACTCACGGCTTGATGCCCTGGACTCCTTTGGGACAAGCAGAGGGTCGCTGGATGCCTTGGATTCCTTTGCCATTGGTAGGTGCAGGGCTTATGGAGTTTCATGCTGCTTTCACTGTGAATACATGCTAAAATTATTTCCTTCAATGCTGAGGATGTCTGTCATATAGCTCTGTCTGCTGGTGCCACGGAACAGGAGTATAAATGTAGAAGAGGGCAGGGAGTTATCTTGGACAGAGCAACTGAATATGTCTAGCTCAGGAGTAAGGAGAAAGGCCATAGGTGTGTTATCCCAGAGAACTGCTATTTACATGGTGTGAAATCTCGGAGGAGAAGGGAGCACAAAGGTATATAATGATGAGCAATGAGATCTAACCATGGCAGTGAATGTCCTGGTACATGGGGCACTACACTCTTGTGTCACAAGGAGCAAAGCTGTAGAGGATGGTGGGCAAAGAGTAAGTCCCCCTGGCCCAGGAGGAAAGGGAGGCTGCTTCTTGGCTGACTTGTCCCCAGTGTTGCAGTATGTTGGCAGCAAAACTATTTTAAGAAGAGCAGAGATTGTCCAGTCAGCACTTCAGCACTCAGATTCACCTCAGTGTGGGGCTATCTTGGAGTTGCCACCTTGGGAATGCCCGCACTTGGCAACATAGAGTTGGGTTCAGTAGAACAAGAAGGCCTTTCCTGACATTTTTCCAAGACTTAGGCAGGTGGTTTCAGGAAAAAATACTAAATGTTATGAAATAAATAAAGCAAATTGATATAATAAGCATGTTTATCTTTTTGTGAGCCAAACTGCCTCTGAAAGTGGAATGATTGTTTTTGTTTTGTGGGGCTCTTTCCCCCTTCTTTTGCCCAGAAGAAACTAGCCCTCAGGAACTGCGACACCCACCTGGCAGCCAAAAGCCATCCCCCGTGGTGAGTGAGACGCTCCCCCGTGCTGATGTCCCAAGGTGCTCTGGAGCCAAGGTAGTAGTGACTTGGGGTGATATAGGTAATTCGGGCCCCTCTACTTAACCTGCCCCAGTGAGTGTTGCCTCCCCATTGTGGCGAGGCAGGTAAAGATTTCCCTAGAGTCGGCAGGAAGACATTTGTTCCATCTTTATTTTTATCTGCAACTCTGTGTATTGCCAAGGTAAACATGGTGTGGCCTAGGTTGTCGGCTCAACAGGGATCACTTTGGGAGGCCGGAGTCCCATATAACACTGGAGTATGGGGCATAGTAAACCAGCTTTGTCTTAAAACTAGTGAGGTTCTTCTTTGCTCCTCTCTGCCCCTGTCAGAAGGCTTTTCCATATATGCTGTTCTGCCCTTGTCCCATGTCTCCTGTCTTGGAGGAAAGGGGAAGGCTTATCCATGGTTAGCAAGCTTGGAACAAGAATTATTCTTAAGTTCCTGTCATCCTGCTCTCCCTCTTACTTCAATGCAAGTCTCTGTCCTGAGATTAATTGCTCCCTGAAGACTCACTGATAAGTGGTTTGCTATTTTACCAGGTTGGGGTAGGGTTGATTTGAGAGTCTTCAAATGGTCATGATGGAAGGAATGAGAAGGAGTGAGGGGAGATTTTTGTTACACATCTCATGATAGGAAACTGAGGTCTCTTATCAAGAGAGAAAGAGGCCCATCTTTGAAGTGAACACACCACACTGTATGTTATCTTTGAAAAAGTTGCATGCAGCTCTTTTGGAAACGTCGTTCCAGATGTGAACATTTTGATGAGAGAGAAAATGAGACAAGTTTTTGAGAGACTGGAATGGAGCGGGGTGTTACAGCCATGTGGTTGTAAAGCTGAGAAGAGATGTGTGGTTTTGCTCAGGTCAGCCTTGGTGGAGTGAGTCACCCAGCTGTGCCCAAGGTCACTGAGCACCTGCTGTCCCAGACGGAACCAGTAATGCCCAACACAGCCCTGCTAGTGAAGAACCCCCTGGCATCTACTCATGTCTTCAAACAAGCCTGTCATATCTGCTACCCTAAAACAGGTGATGCATTTGCTCTGCCACCCAGAGCCCTGGCACGGGCTGGGGCTTGTCTTTCCCCAGGCTGATGTGGTTATTCTCTCCTGCAGGGCCCAAGGCTGGCGATTACACCTATCGGGAAGGCTTGGAGCACAAGTGCAAGCGAGACATCCTGCTGGGCAGGCTGAAGAACTCAGAAGACAAGACCTGGAAGAGGATCCGTCCTCGCCCAACCAAAACCAACTTTGTAGGATCCTATTACCTGTGCAAAGGTGATTTGGAGGGGATAGGGCTGTCTGTGGCTGGGGAGGGGCTGTACAGTGTGTGCCAGGCAAGGTTGGGAGGGACCTTCCAGTTGGTATCATCTGCTGTCTTTGGGATCTTCTTGTCCCATTAGTAGCCCATGGACCGGGAGGCTCAGTACAATGAAAGGCAATGAGCTGCCCTGTTGATGTGAGCTTTGCTGAGAACCTGCCTCCTATACATGTGCCTGCTTTAGTCCCAGTCCACCCAGCAGCCCCATGGCAGGGCTGTGGTTCTGCCCAGGGAAAAGCTCTCTCTGCCTGCTCCTTTGCTCCAGCCCATCCCTCCATATGCAGGCAATGTGACCCAACTGTTCCCTGGAGCAGTGCAATTACAAACTACCTAATGAGATGGGGAGATTGCACAAGCCAAGATAACAGTTCTCCATAGTGCTGGGCTGCTAGGAGAACTTAATCTGGATTGCCAGAGGGGTTTGTTAAATCATGGTCTCCCCCTGGCCAGGCACTAATTTAAAGCAGGCCTTCATTTTGAGATGGTTTCCACTGCAGATGGCATTACTTTGAGATTGTCACCATTCAGTAGTTTGCATTTACTTTCCTGAATGTCTTGGTGTAGACAAACTTCGGGGGACATGTCTCTTCTTTTTTCTTTAACTCTCTGTTTTCTTCCTTTCAACTCCTTGTAAGGTGTGGGCAGTGGGAGGAGAGGAGAAAGAGTTTAGTTTCTGACTGGGCTGCCCTCCCTGTGTGGTGGTGTGTGCTGTTTGTTGTTTTGTAGATATGCTTAACAAGCAGGACTGTAAGTACGGGGATAACTGCACCTTCGCGTACCACCAGGAGGAGATCGACGTGTGGACAGAGGAGAGGAAGGGGACTCTCAACCGTGACCTCCTCTTTGACCCGCTAGGTGGGATCAAGCAGAGCAGCCTCACCATTGCCAAGCTCCTCAAGGAACATCAGGGCATTTTCACCTTCCTTTGTGAGGTACAGAGCTGGTGGGAGGGAGCAGGCACCCTTCATAATCTCTTCAGTATGTATCTGAACCATTGATATGTCCCAGCCAGTGCCCTGCTCTCAGAAGGGCAGTGAGCAGTGGATGCAGCTGTGTAGGAGAAAGGAGAGATAGTTTTCCTCCTTAGCCTTGCAGCTGAACCAGGTGCGCACAGCCTCATGGGACCACCTGTCTCTTCCTCTATCCCGAGGTGTTGCTTTGAATTGTAATTTAGCCCCAGCTACTTTAGAAAGTAGAACCCTGTAATGCAACAAATTCCCACTTGATGTCTGTGCTGAGCCACTGAGTTGGTCAGTTGAGGATTGGTTCCTGCCATCTTGATATCCCGGTGCAGAGAGTTCCCCACCCTGGCAGTGGTACATGTAAAGGGACAAGTTCTTTGCTGTGAACTGGCTGTTCTTTTATTTCTCCCCATCATTTCCCCCTTGTTCTTTCTCTGTTGGCTAGCTGGGAAAGAATATGTGGCTCTGACCAAAATTTTTCCAACCACAATGGAAAATACTGCTGAGAAGAAGCCAAAAAATGTTGTCTGGAACTTTTAAAAAAATTGCCTGCTTTATTTTAAAGCCCTACCACAAAGTTTTCACCAGGCTTCTTCTAACTTTGAACATTAGAATAGGCTGGCTCTGGTTCTTCTTCCCCTTCCAAGTGAAGCAGCTCTGGTTCACTTCTCTCTAAGATTTTCCCAGCATGCTAATTCTTCTCTTCTCAGATTTGCTTTGACAGCAAACCTCGGATTATCAGCAAAGGGACCAAGGACACACCATCTGTCTGCTCCAACCTTTCTGCCAAACACAGTTTCCATGACAACAAGTGAGTGAACATTTTTTGTGCTGATGGGAGCAATCTCATCATAAGTCCAGACAGTTTAACTCCAAGGCCCTGGTCTCTTTCTTTCTTTCTTTCCTCCCTGTGTGTTCCAATCAGAGGGCAGCTCAAAGCATGATAAACAGCACCGTGTGCTTCACCCTGCTTGTTTGCTCCTGGTGCTGAGGGATTTCAGGCATGAGCAAAGCCCTTTGGAGTCAACCTAAGCTTTCCATGGACTTAATTTGCCTTTCAGTTTGGCCTTTACATAAAGGTCAAACCAAAGATCCTCTAGTTCGGTATCCTGCCTCTGACTGGTTGGTAATGAATGTTTAGGAAAACAAGAAACATGTCAAGTGCACAGTAATACAACCCCTTCTGGTTCCTGGCAACCTGAAACTTAGGGACTTGCTGAGCCAGAGGAGTTGGTATCTTTGCTGCATATTTTGAAATGTGTCCGATCTCTGAACTTGAGCAGGGCATCACCTGTGGGCTGAGGAGATTGAAAATACCTACCTAGGATTGGTATGGAGTGGGAGGGCAGGGGTTTGGTTTTCCCAGTGGGAGTTTTCCTCTCCCAGAGTTATTTTCTGTGTCCTTTGCCTACCCAGTCAAATGTGTGAAAGTCACATGTAAGGAGCAGGGAGTGAAGATTTTGCTCATCTGGTGCTTCATATTTCTCTGGCTGGCTGCAGGTGTCTAGTCCACATCGTGCGTTCCACCTCCCTGAAATATTCCAAGATCCGCCAGTTCCAGGAGCACTTCCAGTTTGACGTGTGCCGACATGAGGTGCGTTACGGCTGCCTGCGTGAGGACAGCTGCCACTTCGCTCATAGTTTCATCGAGCTTAAGGTCTGGCTGCTGCAGCAATATTCAGGTGAGTGTAACTTGCTGTAGGGCTGGTGATCTGTACACCCAGGTTTCCTCTAGTGTGTGCCCAGGGACAGCTGAGAGGGGAAGAAGGGTGGTTTGGGAGTCCTGATAAGTTGTCACTCACTTGTGCATATGTTTAACTGTCTCCTCAGGGACACAGAAAAGAGGGCCAAGGTGTTCTGTGGGATCGTAGAATCATAGAATGGTTCGGGTTGGAAGGGACCTTAAAGATCATCTAGTTCCAACTCCCCTGCCATGGGCAGGGACACCTTCCACTAGACCAGGTTGCTCAAAGCCCCATCCAGCTTGATCTTGAACATTTCCAGGAAAGGGGCACCCACAACTTCTCTGGGCAACCTGTCTTGCCACCCTTGCAGTAAAGAATTTCTTCCTAATATCTAATCTAAATTTCCCCACTTTCAGTTTAAAACCATTACCCCTAGTCCTATTGCTACACACTCCCCATCTGTCCTGTAGGTCCCCTTTAGGTACTGAAAGGCTCCCATAAGGTCTCCCCGGAGCCTTCTCTTCCCCAGGCTGAACAGCCCTAACACTCTCAGCCCATCTTCATAGGAGAGGTGCTCCAGCCCGCTGGTCATCTTCATGGCCCTCCTCTGGACCCGTTCCAACACGTCCATGTCCTCCTTATTCTGGGGACTCCAGAGCTGGATGCAGTACTCCAGGCGAGGTCTCACCAGAGCAGAGCAGAGGGGCAGAATCACCTCGCTCAAACTGCTGGCCACACTTCTTTTGACGCAGCCCAGGATGCGGTTGGCTTCATTAGGCCCTTGTTCCTTTATAGGTGCTACTGTAATTTGCAGACCAGCAAGCCTTTCCCTTGGTACCAGCTGCATAAGTTGAAATGATCATTAGGTAGGGCTGAACCCCCAGAGGTATTTTGGTGCTTAAATCCTGTGCGAGACACTAAATAGCAGTTGGGCCCCTGAGTGAGTGGTGCAGCGAGAATGGCAGCATGCACAGGTGACAAAGCAATTATATAAAGGAGGATTGCACATCTCAAGTTTCTCTAAACAAACTCACCAATAGTGGGAAATGAAAAGATACCTGGTGTTTACCAGGAAGGCTTTGATGACATACCTCTGAAAAGGCTATTTCAGAAATTATATTCAGGTCAGTCATATAACGACGCTGCCACATCTGGTACTTTCAGTCCTCTCTCTCTCTGACAGGCTGGAGGTTTTCTCTTGCTGCTCTCCTGTTAACCAAGTAGATGCTGGCCCACCCATAATGCTATCTGCTATTTTTTCACTGCAGGGTCTTGTTTATTGCAGGACCCAGCCCAGTGATGGGAGTACTGCAGAAAGGAAACATCTTATGGATTTTTTTTAACCCATTCTCTGATGTAACTGGAGGCATCTTCTTTAATTTACTGTTCCAGTGCCTGTCACCGTAGTTCAGTGCAGTCCTCTGCCCTGGTGTGGCTCATGAGGGAACGAGTAGCACACTGTGGCAGATGCTATCTTTTATTCTTCCTGTTTGGCCTCACTTACTTGTGTCCACAGGAAATTAAAAAATTACACCACCAGAGTTTCTAGGACAGCATGTTGCCAGTGAGCTGCAGGCCACCATTGCTGCCCTGTATGCTTATGATACTGCCTGTAGTACTCTGGGCACTCTAGTATTCAAGCACAGTGCTCTTTTCCCTACCCCATGGTTTTGGGGTTTTTTTTAGTGTTTGTTTTCTGCTTTTTGGGTTTTTTTGTGGTTTTTTCTTAGAAAAGGTTTCTTTGCTCCCTTCTTCCCTCTCTCCCTGTTTCTTTCCCTTCAGCCTGTAGAAGAAATGGTTAGATTGATTTTTACTTCTTGCCTTCGAAGAAGTGATTTCATAAAGGGAAGCTGAGGAGATGAAACCAGCCATGAATTTAGTTGCAGAGGTGGTCAGTGAGCCTTGTGCTTATTCCTGTCTTTTCCAACAATGGGAGAGCCATCATCTTTTTGGGTTTCTTTTCTGCAGGGCTGTATATATGACCCTGCTGTCCTTGGTAATTTGCCTTCCTGGACTGGTAATTATTACCTCTCTTAAGTGTAGCCCTCATTAAGGAAACGGAAATGAAAGGTAGTTGTCAACATTCTCTGGGAATGCTTTAGCTTTGGAGCAGAGAGTTTGATTTGGACACCATTTGCTCTGCAAGAATAGGAAGCATCATTCATAGCAGCTTGCATTTGGAACCAGTGGGCTGTTGCACTTCACAGCCATTTGAGCTTTTACAGGGGCCGTTGCTTTGTTGTTGGGGATAAAGGATTGTATTAGTGGAGTAAAGCTTCCCAAGCTCTGAAAATTTGGACAGGCAGGGCTATTTTCTTGTTCGCTGTGGCTTTTCACAGAGACATCTTGCTATCTTCTTCCATCAGTGGAAAGCGCAGAGTCTTTGTCCTCAGTAATGATGTTGCAAAAGATGCTGAAATGTTATAAGTAATCAACACATGGGCCTTTTGGTTCCCAGATGATCTCTTTGGGACAGTTCATACTTAGTAGAGCTGGTGTATTGGAAAACATCCTTTCATATTTGGGAGAGGTTTTTTTTTTCACAACCACATTTCTACACTGTATTGTTGAGTGAGTTCAGATTTCTGGGGCTGGGAGAAGGCAGTCACTTGCTAAGAACTTCATTTGAAATTCAGTCTTCTGACAAGAGCTGTATATGCTGCTTCTGTTGGTTCTGCATGTCCAGGATCACAGGTCAGGCGTGCAGAATGGAGAAGATGGAGGTTGTTTTGGCCCTTTCTCTGGTAGGTCCAGTGCAGCATGTTAACTCTTTGCTGTGACTTTCCCAGCTTTGTAGTTTTTGTCCCCAAAGTACACATCAGTATTGTGTCCAGCCCTGGCATACTTGGACACAGAAGAGGGAGTTGTAATTTTTCTAACTCTACACAATTTCTTCTGGAATTACTGGTTAAGAAGGAGAAAATCCACAAACAGCTCTGATCTGGGAGTAATACCAACTGTGCAACAGCTGCCATTTTGGAGGCCTGAGCAAATGTTCTTGAAGAATGGTAAAGTTTCCTGAATGTTTTTAATCTTGTCCAAGCCCTGTACAAATAGCAGTATTGTTGATTTGAACAGCTGAAATCAGAGATGGGGAAACTGAGGTCATGAATGCTGTGACTTACCCATGTTACGCACAGCTTAAGCTGGGATGAAAACCTGTGTTTGCTGGCCTTTAAGTCCTGGAACATGCTGGCTCCCAGATCAAAGATCGTGTCCATGTGGCATGCCTCGGGAACACCACACTTCAATAATAAAAGCTGTAGGCAAAAACAAAGCAAGCAGTTTTACAGCCTGCCAGTGCTGGGGGTGCTGCACCATGGCCATCCTCAGCACTCCAATTGTTGCTGTCAGCTGGCCGTTTTAAGATGCTTGCTTCAGGTTTTTTTGGTGGCTCTCTTGGGTCTTTTTAGCCCTTAAGTAACATGAGGCTATTTTGTAACAGAATCCTCACATTGACCAGACGGTTCCTACTCTTACATACTTTTCTCTCACTGTGTAGTGCTCTGAGAATCGTAGCACCCATCTAGCTGGTTGATGTTGGCAGGGGCCATTCCCTCGCCACTTGAGTTGTTCAGGAGTTAATTCCTTAGATAAGGTCTGACCAACCCTTTTCCTTGTTGTCTGATGTTGCATTTCTGATTCCTGAAACCTTGCAGATCTTTCCTTGCTGGTTACATACTAGCAGTTGTTCCTTGGTGTTTGTGTTCAATTTCAACTTTCCTCTTGGACTATTGATTGACGTGTGTAACAGGATAATCTTGAAGTGTGTAACAGGCTAATTAATCCCAGCAGGGCTTAGGTGAGACTTTTAGGATCTCTCTGATCTTCCAAGCTAGTGGGAAAACCTCCAATATGGAGTAGATAAACAGTAACAAAGCATTGTCTTCAGGATTTGGGTAGTATCTGTTGATCCGGTGTCAAGCATCAGCATCTTGGAGGCAGCCTTTGGGTCCTTTGCACACAGCCTGAGCAGAATGCCAAGTCTGAGTGAGTCCAGGGGACCGAACTCGTCTCCTTTCATCTGCTTAGAATGGGAGTGCTGGAGAGAGGAACTCCCCAGCCTGTGCTTGAACACATTCTGTGGTGGTGTCAGATTCCCTCACAACTGATGCCCTGACATTACCAGTGGGGACTGTTGGGAGCTCTCAGCCACACAGTGGTTTCTAAGCCCCATCATAGGAAGTCCTGCAACCTTTTCCTCCCTCTCTTCTGTTGGCCGAAGCAGGGTAGATCAAACCCTGTCTCCTTTTGTTCCCAGGAATGACCCACGAAGATATCGTGCAGGAATCTAAGAAGTACTGGCAGCAGATGGAGGCACATGCCAGCAAACCAGCCAACAGCATGGTAAGTAGGGTGCATCTAGGGCTTGCAGCCTGATTTTGCTCCCCACTGTTCCAGCACTTTTTCTCTCTTTTCTTCCCACTGCTGTGCCTGACCAGTCCCAGGCAGACCAGGCTGGACATTGAGGAGTAGGACAGCTGAGAGCCTCCCAGTGATGAGCTTTGTGCTTGTTTTGCAGTTTCGTATCTGCTCTGTTCAGTCGCGGGGTGAAGCCTGCAGAGCAGGGAGGGCAATGTGCAGAGAGTGGTGCTGCATGCAACGCCTTGCTACTGAAACTGGGGACAATGGCCACACAGAGTGGGGATCAAAGGGGTCCTGCTGCCCTTTAGTGGCCAAGGGACGATATGGCAGTGTGAAGGACTGAGAAATGACACAAGACCCACAGGACTGCTCTAAACACAAGAGAGGGTGGAACTCAGGTGCTGTTGGCGCTGGGCAGATAGTAGTGCTTTGCCAGGAAGAGGCTGTGAGCTTTGCCTCTCTTTGTGCCACCAGTCTCTCGGTGTGGGAGAAGGTGCCTCTGGCTGCACCCTCCAGCACTGCTGAGAGCTTTCTCTGGAAAAGTGTCTTATAAGCAAAGAGCACCTCTTCATTAGCTCTCTTCCAGCCTGTTGGCTGTGGGTGGTGCTGCCTTACCTGTTTTTTCCCCAAGGGGGTGTTCTGTAGTGTAGGAGCAGAGCCCACCCAGCGAGGACAATTCCCAGCCCAGCCCTGAGGTTGTACAAAAGCAGTTTTGCCATTAGAGCAGGGAGTTTTTGTTCTTTAATTACTTTCAGAAGATAGGTCTGATGAAATTAGAAACTTCATGCCTCCTAGTTAGTTGTCAGGCACAGGAACAATTCTCTCTCCTGCAAAATGTTTAGGGAAAGTGTTGTGAATCCTTTTTGTTCCCACTTGACAGCTTGCTTTCCCCTTGTGGAGGCCTGAGCTCCCCAGCCCTTGCCCTGTGTCTCACTGTTAGAGCAAGCGTGCTTCACATTTGTTTGGGACCCGGGAGCCCTTCTGCAGACACCAGCACTGAGTGCAGCCTGTGAGCACCCTGGGGAGGAGGTGTTGTAGAGCAAGGGGATCTGAGTCACTCCTGTGGTGTGTAGTAGCTTTTTTTGGCTAGGTTATGGGCCAGCAGAAGTGTTCTGAAGGCTGTACGCCACTGATGCTGGGGAAAAGCAGGTCTGATGGGCATGGGTTAGCCCAATAGGAAAGATGTGGGTGACTGCACTTGCTGCTTGCAGTGGGCTCTGTGTCCACCTGTGTACTGGTTATGCTTCATGAGATGGAGTTATCTTTGGGGAGATGCTCAGCACCATACCTTTGTGGCCTGTTCTGCTGTTGTGGTCTGAAATAGATGGAGGAGAGGAAAGGGAAGCAGCAGTCCAGAATAACTAAGGTCTCTAGTTCCCAAAGCTGTCTCACTTGCTTAAGGAAAATGTTCTAGCCTCAGGAAGCTGAGAGGGCAAGTTTCTACAGACTGTATTCACTGTGAGAAGTGAGCCTGGATGATCTGACTGGTCCCTGCAAACAGAGCTAGCTGTCATCTCTTTCTACCTGGTGTGAGCACAGAGGCCTGCATCTCCACAGTGGAGGAAACTAAGTTTGAATTTGACGCAGTTTGTGACAGTAGTTGGATTTAAATTATCAATCACTGCCCCATGGAGAGTGAAGTCTAGTGACTAGTTCTGTCCTGGCTGCTGTGGATCTGCCTGTGTTTTCCAGAAAACTCTGACTTGCCATTCTCTGTGCATAATCTGGGGATAAAAAAAAAGATAGATGGACAGCTGTTTTCCTGTAAGCCTTGCAGCTTCAAATTCACCTTTGTCTGAAGGTGCTGCTGTTGGAAGAACAGGTTGTTCAGCAGGCATGGTCAGAGTATGTCCTCTGAAGCCTATGGGATCTGGATGCTGAGCAAGGGTTTCTTTTCTGGCTCTTGATGCTTGCAGGAGGCAGAGAATCAGAGAGAAATGCCAGTGCCTGCTACATCAGCTGTCAGGGGATGGGCAGAGAGCTACAGTTTCTGGGCCCTCTGGGCAGTGTTAGGGCTGTTGGCCAATGTCAAAGTCTGGTTGCGTCCCACAAATGCCTGTCAGAGCTGGACTGCACCCTCCACCCTTCTAGGGCATTGGTTTGTGCGGAGGTGAAGCATTAGCATTGTTGGTACAGGCAGAAAGAGCCGAGTAGTGGCACTGTCAGTTGTCTGCAGGGCTTGGCAGCCTGGCACTGACACTGTGCAGGGAGACAGAGTCCAGTTGGTCAGATGCATGTGTTTGCAATAGCAAACCATGGCTTTGGCATCAGCACGTAGTCAGCCAGAGGGCTGTGCTCCAGGACCAGACACTGGCTTGCTGCTGAAGACCCTGGGGGCAGGACTAATATATCTATTGAGAGATGTTTACTTTTGCCATTATTTTCTCCTGTCCAAGCAGGCTAACATGACTCAGAGTTTTCTCAGCGTCCTTCCAGCTTTCCAAGTTGCTGCCTGGCAAAGACAACTTCCCAGGAGTGCTGTAAAAGCAGACCCCTCCTTCCCACCATCCCGTGTGATCCGTGCTCACCCCGGTGCCCTCTGGTCAGCGGAAGCAAAGTCGCTCCCAGGGATTTTGCTGCGGTTTTGTCACAGTTGCCAGTTGGACTCAGTCAGCGGCTTGGGCTGTCCAGTTGTGGAGGAAATAGGCAGGCAGCGTACAGGGATCCAGCAGCTGTGATGATGCAGGTCAGGAGACCTACCAAGAAGTGGAAGGTGAAGGCAGCTAAACACCTGCCAGGGACCTCACTCTTGTCCCCACAAATTTGGCCCCATAGAGGCTGCTGTAGGACTAAACCCAGGGGAGGCAAATTGAAGAGGTAGTCAGCAGGACAGTCTGGGTGTCCTACCATCACATCCCTAGGAATTAAAGGGGTTTTGTCCTCATTTTTTCTGTTTTTCAAGAGCTATTCTGTTTTTACTCCACTAGCCAGCTGTAGAATCCCCATAAAAAATGGCCTCAGAATTAACAATTTAAGCATTGGAAATGAAAGTCTCTAATAAGGGGTACGTGCATCTAAGTACAGCTCCCTTGGGTAGGTGGTTGAGTAACCTGGGCTCCTCATATAGTCCCCTGAGGCACGTGGCTTCTCCAGAGAGCATTTCAGTATTGCTGAGAGGAGTTCCTGAAGTGGAGAGACACAAGTGGCCACGCTGGGGCTGTTGCTTTCTGCAAAGCCTGGAGAGCTGTCGTGCCAAAGACTTTTATTTATTTGGTTGCCATGGTGCATAGCTAACACTATATTGTCTGGCTTCATAGCAAGGGGTGGTGCCACAGCCCGAGGCACTTTTGCCTGGCTTCGTCTGCTAGAGCCTCATGTGATACTAATTTCCACACTGTTGGTTATCAGTGGCCTGCCAGGTATGTGTCTTGCCTTTACAAATGCAGTCATGTCGCAGCAACAACAGCGGCTTTGATTTTTTGCTTGGCTTCTAATTCCCTGGGAGCAAACATGCCCACTAGATTGACCAGCAGTTTGCATGACTGATGAAGAAGTGCACAGGGCTTCTTTTTGTTAAGAATTTGTGAAAAAAAGCAGCCCAGATCACCAGAATTACCCAAGAAACATTTTCTTTATCTCTCATGTATTGTGCCTTCTGGAGCCACTCGATTTTTAATTTTGCTGGGTCAGTAGATTTGAGCCAAGCTTCCTGGCTGTGCTGAGAGATCTGTCACCTGGAGGATTATGTGGCAGATATCACTGGGCTGATGAAAGGGAATATGCCAGCAGTGCTATTATATTACCTTAGGCCTGTGTGTTTGATGGGTCAGTGGTGAACTGTAGTGTAATTTTCTTTGGAGACAGGTGGAGATTAAAACTACTGTTCAAAGGCCACACGTCTCATAGGGAGACATCTTACTGCCTTCTATGACATCTAGATCTCGGCCCTGCTCATCCAGCTGCTTTGATGTGTTCTTGGTGGTCACCAGCACTGGTGAAAGCTGACAGATCAATGAGTAGTGTGCTAGATGCCACCAGAAGGGCTGTTCTGCAGATGAGTAGGCCAGAATCACCACTGCTTTTCAAGAGAGATAATGGTTGTAGGGAAGGGTCCTTTTGCTGAGATATTCAAAGCAGTGATGGCCTCTTGTAGTCAGCACAGGCAAAGGTCAGCTCTCTGGTCAGCTTTTCACAGCGACGGAGGACCCTGTGTCAGCTCTGCTTCTCCAGAAGACTGAGTCAGGAGGATGCAGAGTGGTAGTCAATAGCTTATGTGGCGTTTCCTGGGAGATGCTTTGATTCTGCACCGCCTGTGCTTGCTGCTTTCCCTTTGCTGAGGGATGCACGTAGGGTTGATGCTACTGCTGATCAATTGCTTGCAGAAGCCTCCGCCTCAGGAACGTGGTTTGCTTGTCTGCTCAGGGTTAGAAGTTGAGTCGTGGCAGCTGGGATGGGCTGCTTACGTGGGTAGCAGTCAGAGAGCTGTTTTACTGGTACATGACCTTTGTGCTTCCAGAATGTGAAAGCAAGGACAGGTAGCCTGGGAGAAATGAAGAGAAATTATCTGAGCAGCAGTCTGATCAGGTTAAGAAAGCTAAAGCCCTGAGAGAAGCAAATCTAGCCAGGGATGTCAAGGGCAACAATAAAAGCTTCTACAGGTATGTCAGTAATAAAAGAAAGACTAGGGCAAATGTGGACCCTCTCCAGAAGGAAACAGGAGACCTGGTTACCAGGGATATGGAGAAGGCCGAGGTACTGAATAGCTCTTTTACCTCAGTCTTCACTGGCAAGTGCTCTAGCTGCACCACCCAAGTTGCAGAAGGCAAAGGCAGGGTCTGGGAGAATGAAGAACCACCCACTGTAGGAGATCAGGTTCAAGACCATGTAAGGAACCTGAAGGTGCACAGATCTATGGGACTTGATGAGAGGCATCCACAGGTCTTGAGGGAACTGGCAGATGAAGTTGCTAGGCCACTATCCATCATATCGGAGAAATTGTGGCAGTCTAGTGAAAGTTCTCACTGACTGGAAAAGGGGAAGCATAACCCCCATTTTTAAAAAGGGGAAAAAGAAAGACCCAGGGAATGGCAGGCCAGTCAGTCTCACCTCTGTGGCCAGCAAGATCATGGATGGAGCAGATCCTCCTGGAAACTGTGCTAAGGCACATGGAAAATAATGAGGTGCTTGGTGACAGCCAACATGGCTTCATTAAGGGAAAGACCCAGGGAATGGCAGGCCAGTCAGTCTCACCTCTGTGGCCAGCAAGATCATGGATGGAGCAGATCCTCCTGGAAACTGTGCTAAGGCACATGGAAAATAATGAGGTGCTTGGTGACAGCCAACATGGCTTCATTAAGGGCAAATCATGTTTGACAAATTTGGTGTCTTTTTACAATGGTGTTACAGCGTTGGTGGATAAGGGAGGAGCAACGGACATCATCTGCCCGGACTTGTGCAAAGCATTTGATGCTGTCCTGCACAACAGCATTGTCTCTGAATTGGACAGGCATGGATTTTAATGATGGACCACTCAGAGGATAAGGAACTGGCTGGGTGGCTGCACTCAAAGAGTTGTGGTCAACGGCTTGATGTCCAAGTGAAGACCAGTGCTGAGTTTGTTCCCCAGGGGGTGCTACTGGGACCAGTGCCATTTAACATCTTTTTGGCAATATGGATAGTGGGATTGAGTGCACTGTGAGGGTGGTGAGACACTGGAACAGGTTGCCTAGAGAAGTTTTGAATGCCCCATCCCTGGAAGTGTTCAAGCCTAGTCTAGTAGAAGGTGTCCCTGCCCGTGGCAGGGGAGTTGGAACTAAATGATCTTTAAGGTCCCTTCCAACCCAAACTGTTCTAGGATTCTATGATTCACAGTTGGCTCTAAGACCAGGGTGTTCATAAATGTTCTTGCTTGTACCCTCATAAACTCCTGTGCCCAGGGCCACTGACAACCAGTAAGGTTTGCTCTTTGGTTTGGAAATGAACTGGAGACACCAGCCTTATGTCTTCTGGTGGTGGTACAAAATATCAATGGCTTTCCAGAGATCAGCACAGAAAACACTGGAGAGGCAGCGGTGATACATGACTTGCTCTATTCTTTTCCCCTTCCACAGTCTCTTAGTCATAATCCCAAAAGAGCCTTCTCAAGGAGACAGGTAGAAGGCCAATGAAGTTAAGTGGCTCAGAGGATATGAAAGATGTGCATTGACAGTTGTAGCTCTGTCCAGATTAACTGTCTGTGAGGCCTGGTGCAAAGGAACTGTGAGGGGTGGAAGCCTGCCCAGAAATGGCTTTGAAGGGTATTAACAAGAGGACCCAGCTCTGAATTCAGTGTGTCAAGTATTAGAGGTGACATGAGCCTCTTGGTCCGAAAGCGGGAGTGGTGGGTCCTGCACTGTGGCACAGCCTGGCCTCCTCCCAAGGGGGGCTCTCTTGTCTGTGCGACTGAGCTCTCTCCATGGGTAGCGAGGGGGACATGGATTGTCCTCCCTGCGGGGAAGCGGGGATTAAGCGCTGGGGCAGGTCTCGCAGAGCTCGTCTGTACATGGAGATATGCTGGAGGGGTTTTGCAGCCAGGCCTGGTCAGTGCTTGAAGCTGCCAGGCTGGCTGTGCTTTTGGCCAGATGTCAAAGCCCAGGAAGTCATGCTGAAGCAAGTAGTGGTTTTGCTCCTGTCTGATATCTCGATGGGCCACCAGCTAATGCTGGCTGGAGAGCTGGGCTGCTTCTGATTTAATCTGGGTTGTTGCTGGCACGCGGGCGTGCAGGGAGCTGCCAGCTGCATTTTGGCTCCCTTTGCTGAGATTGTGGCTCTCTTCCCCAGGCTTCTCCTCGGGCTCCCACGTCAAGCACCTTTGACCTCCAGATGAAATTTGTATGTGGCCAGTGCTGGAGGAACGGGCAGCTGGTGGAGCCAGATAAAGACCTCAAGTACTGTAGTGCCAAAGCCCGCCACTGGTGAGTAATGCAACCTTCTCTTTCGCCGACCTCTCCTCAAGGGTAGGAATTTATCCTCTCACCTTCCCCAGGGCTTCATTTGGCCTCTTTGGAAGAGGCTGTAAGATTTCCTAGTGGCCTCTTGCTGCTTGGGGTGTTTGTCACTATAGCAAGCATTGCAGAGAGACGATTTCCAGGTTCCAGCTCTCTTCTCACTGTTTGTACTCGCTGCCAGCATTATGCAGGCTGTTACTCTGGTGTGTGCAGTCCAGCTCCCACAATTCCCTTTTTTCCCAGTTGCTATTATTTCTTCTTAGGAAGGTCACTAAGATAGTTCTCCTCTGCACTTATTTATACTCCTAGTTGTTTGCAGATGTCTGTCAGGTCACTATTAAAAATGGTTCAAGGTATTCTGCTTCCTTTTAAATTAGTTTCCTTGGCTCTTTCATTGCTTTGCTTGCTCTTCTCTGACACATGTCTTGTCTGTTTGCACCTCCTGGCACCTTGGGGCTTGTGAGGATGTTTGGAGTGATAGAAGAGGGATATCAGCTGGGAAGGCACCATTGGGTCATGGAAATTGTGGCATTCTCACCTAGGCAGCCCAGCAGGACAGGATGGAAGGTTTATAGGGCTTCACTTCCCATAACACAAGTCACAAAGGCACAGTCCAGCATCCTATTGCAAATATAAGACCTTTGATGAAAAAGAAACAGAAGGAGCAGTTACTGGAAGAAGTAAGCAGGTGAGGGTCACTTCCTGAAATGGGAAGGATAAGACCTCTTTGTGCAGCTACTGATGAGAGCTGGGGATTTTGCCCAGGTATCTCCTGGTGATCGCTTGCTGGTGCTGCAGGAGAATTAATACTTCCTGGCACCTGTTCATAAGACAGTGCTTGTAATGACTTGCATTTCTGCTGCACCATTCAAGCAGAAAATATTCCCGAATGTTTTTCATGGATTTGATTGCACAAGAATTGGCTGTGTTGAAGGGTGGAATGCAGCTGTTTAGTAATCCATGGTGATGCCATGTGAGACCTGGGAGAGACTTTTGCACCTAAATGAGAAGACATACCCCAGGAAATGCGTGATAAGTTCAGGGAGAAATCCTTCTAAAACACCCTTCTTGTCACTTCTCTGTCACAGACTGTGTGTGTCTAGGAGCAGCCGGATAGTGCGGGGACAAGCTGGAGTGGAGGATCTGGTCACCTCTCAATACTTAAGGGTCTCTCTGAGGAAAACAAAACCTTGGTTTGCTCTTCCTTTTGCCTCTCTTGATTTATTCTCTCTTCCTCAGTTGGACAAAGGAACGTCGCGTCCTGCTGGTGATGTCCAAAGCAAAGAAGAAGTGGGTATCTGTCCGACCACTGCCTTCCATCCGCAACTTCCCACAGCAATATGATGTAAGTGCCATGCCCAGCACGGCCAGGTGCCCCTTCCCCTTCCCTCCCACCTTGATGCAGTGCTTTGAGGTCTGGTCCCTTACAGACGTAGCAGGGAGGCAGGCATGTGTTGGCTGAGGTGGGAGACAAGGACAGACGGATGGCAGCAAGATCTCAAAGACATCCAGCAAAAGGGTGGAGCAGAAAAAGGGATGGCACCCTTTTAAACTACTTTATGCACGTATGCGAGTTTCTGATGTTGTTGTTAATACAGTCACTGTCTCGAGAAGTGGCTGGCACAGGGTTTGGGAACGAGATTTAAGTCTCCCCTTAGGTCAGGGTTTCTCAATGTGGGTGAGAGGCGAGACGAAGCGCTTGGGAGAAGCCTATCCCCTTGCTGTGGCTGTAGATTATGAAATGTGCTCACAATGTGTTTTAAAAGTAAAACTAAGAACTTAGCTAAGGCGCCATGTGCAGTGAGGAAAACTACAGATATCCAACCTCCAACCCCAACCCTGAATATGGGAATTGATAGTTTCCCTCACACTCTCCTTTCCTATCTCCCTGGAAGGAGAAAGCTCCTCTCCCCCTACCCTACGGGATCTGCTGTCCCTTAGTCCATGGGCAGGCACAAGGCCACGTGTGAGGCCTTGAGCACTCTCCAGTTGCTAGAATCTGAGGAGGGGAGCAAGCGTTATTAACAGCTGCTGCAGTAGGAGATGGGGCCAGCAGGTGAGTTGCAGATGGTGTGGCAAAGCAGGTTGCCAGACGAGGGTGTGCGTTGCCTGAGCTCCCGCCCAACCCCAGCCAGAGAAGAACAGCGTTGTCTCTCCTCCTTGGTGTTTGTGGGCCAGTTGGTCTCCACACTGCTGTCCTCCTCTGGTGGCAGGACTGGGGGAGAAAGGATGATCAGTAAATGTGATGCTTGGAATGCTTCTCATTTTCTCTGGCAATGATGCTGTTGGTGGCTGGGAGGTAAAGCTGTGTGGTCTAAGCAAACTGTAAGGCCACATCTCCTGCTTGGAGATGGCTGGAGAATGAGTCACCTTTGGGGACCAGCAATGTGACCAGCAAGCAGGAGACACTGTCAGGTCAATTCAGGTTGCTCCCTGCTGTCTCCCCCAGGGCCAGTGCTAAGCATAGCTGCTCCCAGTCACCTGTGGAAATGGCAACCAGAGAGAGGCCAAGTGCTGAACTGAGCTGCCTGCATGTTTATAGGGAAAACTTACCCTTTGTGTCATCAGGAGCTTGAGTAAAACAAGCATGAGTTAATGGCGTATGAAGTGTCCTGTTTGTGACCTCTCCTGTGTGCAGTTTAATGTCCCGGTTGGTTTTTTGAACCCACTGTCCCCTCTAGCAAGGAGTGTTTGTGCAGATGCTAAATTTTGCTCTCTGTGTTTTGACAGTTGTGTATCCATGCACAAAATGGCAGGAAATGCCAGTATGTGGGCAACTGCTCCTTCGCCCACAGCCCTGAGGAGAGAGACATGTGGACCTTCATGAAGGAAAATAAAAGTGAGTGGGGGAAAATATGGGACACAGAGAGTTTGGGGAGAGGGAAGATGCGGTTTGGGCAGTGGATGCAGAGTCTGTTAAGACATACTCTTGACAACAGAGATGGAGCTGGACAGAGCTGGTACCATGAGCCTGGGTGGGATTATGGGGCAGGTCTGTCTACAGTAATTTAGAGCTGCTTACCTTAAATGTGCACATATAGTCGAGTCCCTCGCTCTGAGACTAGTGCACATTGCTCCATTGCTGCTCTCCCTTTCTGCAGCACTTTGAATCCACCCTGTTCTACCCCTCCAGTTGCCTGTACTGTCCCAGGCCCGGCTCAGTGTGGAGCTCTGCCAGAGCACCAGTCCTGACCTGTAGATGTTTCTGTATCTTCCTTGCCTGTCTTGTATCTGCCTTGGCTTTCTTGCCCATTTCTGCTCATATGCCGTGCTTCTGGGCTGCGGCACTCCCTGCTCATGGCATTGTATTCAAAGGGGCGGATTTGAGATCCTGAATGAGAACATCGTTGGGTGGTGCCTTTGTGGAGGAGCTTGTCTGGAATTAATTATGCAGGCTCCCAACTTACCTTTTGGAGGAAAGCTAGGGGGTTGCCCATGTCCTGGACTGCCAGCTCTGGCAGCAATCCTTGTTTTTTCAGACCAACAGCAAGCTGTTTGCAAGGCCCAGTGAGAACCCAGTGCTCACCTAGCGCTGTTGGGAAAAGCCCGTGGAAAGCTTGAAGGTTTCAGCCCTGCCCTAAGTTTATTTGGTCTTTGTGCTTGGATGGAGGGTCCTTCTGATGGGCCAAACGCTGTTATTTATTGCAGTTCAAGTAATTTCATTGCTGACGCCTTTAAAGCACATCAGACCAGTCTGGGTGTGTTTGCTCAAGCATGAAGGTGAATCTTCAAACAGCGTTGTTTCAGTTTGGGGGAATTTGCATTCATTATCCCCAATTGCCTTGAGTTCCTCAATTACCATTTAGTGAGGAGTAAATCACCAACACATCGCACTTACAGCATCGCATCGGTGTCTGCAAACATTTATATTTCTGTAACCTTTCTCAGGAACTGATGTTGGAAAGGCAGATGTCAAAGCTTCCACTCAAAGTTTCTGTTCCCACTAGTATCCTGAGAGGGTTTTAAACCAAAAGCACCCGCAGACATTGACTGCGCTCCTCTGGGCAGGTGTTGAACTCCAGGCAGGCTGTCATTAGGTCTTCCTCCCCAGCACTTCCTGTGGCCAGCTTACTTAAGGGTTCTTCTCCTTTTCGAGTGCTGAAGATGAAGCTTAGGCTTAGAGGGAAGGGATGGATCTGAATCCAGCCCCTACCTTGGCTCCCTGGCTGGAGTGAGATGCCTGCTGAGGTCAAGCAGAATCAGGCCTGATGGAGAATCACCTTGTAGGGTGAAGTCTATGGAGATCTTGGGACACTTTCCCTCCTTCCTGAATACTTTGTCTGGCTGTGGTCACAGTTGCCCCTCAATTCATAGAAGACACCTCACCACACCAGGCAGTGTGTGTGAATTTGGCTCCTCTCCCCAGGGTTCTCATCTGGGCAGGTGACATAGGTCCTCCAGAGGCTTTCAGTCTGGTGGCGGGTGCTGCTGCACAGGAGATGGGAGTAAAGGGCTGCCCCAGCGTTCATCCTTTCCTTGTAGTTTGTGCGTGGTGTGGGAGGTTGTCTGAGTGACTTCATGGGTCGCCTTTGTGCAGTACTAGATATGCAGCAGACCTATGACATGTGGCTAAAGAAACACAATCCTGGGAAGCCTGGAGAGGGGACACCGCTCACCTCGCGAGAAGGGGAGAAACAGATCCAGATGCCCACTGACTACGCTGACATCATGGTAATCAGCTGATTGCTTGTTCTTCTTCCCTTCTCCTACCAGTGCTGAGAGCCTGTCACTCCTGTGTGGGGAGGATGCTAGCAGGGGCTGTATTGCTCTTGTGGGAAGGACCCCATGGTAGGTTAAACGGACACTTTAGAGCAGCCCAGCAAGGACAGCACAGATGAGGTGGGAAGGGATTGACCCGGGGTCAGCAAGGCTCTGCAATGGCTTTTCTGTTAATCCTCGAGTCGGTAGGGCTCTACCTTAGGTTCCCTTGTGCGTGGGCTCAGCCTCTCCCCAGGGTTCCTGCGTGCTCCTGGGAAAGCTGGCAAAGACATTGCTGGCCTGTCGGAAAAGGGGGAGAAGGTTGGAGAAGACCTGGATCAGGAGCCTGGGAAAACTAGAGGCAGATGTGTCTCCTTAGTGCAGGAGTGGTGGCTGTTGTAAGGATTTGTGCTCCTGAAGAGTCCTGCATTGCCTGTGCACCTGAGGGCCTTGCAGTCAGACCCCATGGGGGCCACAGTAGGGGCAGGGGGGGTTATGTCAGTGAACTGAGCTGCCCTGTTCTGAGCCCATTTGAGCTGTAGGTAGACCTCAACAAAGCATCTCCTCTGCTCCCCTTTAGTGGCAGCACGATGCCATGAAGATGATATGGCAGGGAAGTGCAGGAGGTCATAGGCTGAGTGGAGCTTCCAGAAGGAAAGGGGTAGAGGCCCAGCGGAAGGCCAGTGGGTGGGACTGTTAACACACTGACTGGTGCTTTGCCCTCTCTGCACCGGTTAGATGGGCTACCACTGCTGGCTCTGCGGGAAGAACAGCAACAGCAAGAAGCAATGGCAGCAGCACATCCAGTCGGAGAAGCACAAGGAGAAGGTCTTCACCTCGGACAGTGACTCCAGCTGCTGGAGCTACCGCTTCCCCATGGGCGAATTCCGGCTCTGCGAAAGGTACTGTTGTCTGGTCTCCCTCCTGTGCTGCTGCTGCTGCAGGGATGGGGCAACAGGCCCAGGGCCTCCATCATCCCTCCGCTCCTTCACCAACTCCTCCTCCTCTCACAGAGTCCCCAGGGACTTCTGCTTGGAGGAGGAGCGGGATGAGCTGACAGGTGGGGGTGATGGTGAGGCTGTTGTTGGACCCCAGAGGTGGTCAGCCACTCTACTAAGTGGTAAAAGTACACTCCTGAGCACATGTCCTTAGAAAAAGGAGAGCGAGCTTCATGTCTGCACCTGTGCCCTCCATAGCCAGGATGCTCTCAGCTCTCAGGCTGCTGAACAGTCTGCTTGGCCCGATGCTTGGGGGAATCCCAGGTACTTTATTAAATGGTTTGAATGTCTCACGCCCTCTGAATCAGCGCCTTGAGGTGTCTTCAGAAGGCTTGTGATGGTTAGAAGTGTCATTTTGGTTAGAGAGAGGGCTCTCTCGTGGCTGTTACCTGGCATTTCCTCTCTTGTGTGGTGGTTTCTCCTCATCCCCGCTGGTCCAGTTCCAGCTCACATGGTTTCATTCTGTTGACTAAATGCCCTCTGCCCCAGCTCTGCTTGCTGGTTTCTGTGCCCAGCCTCGGTACAAACCCTGGCTGCCCGTGGGTTTGTGGAGAATGGCTCTGCCCTTAGAAAGGAGAGTTTGCAGCGTGTTTCAGCAGGCTCCGATCGAGTATCCCAGACAGGGAGCTCAAGCCCTGTCCCGGGGGTGCCCTCCTGATTGTGCTGCTTGTGCCGGCAGGTTCCAGAAGAGCAAGGCCTGCCCCGAAGGAGAGGAGTGTCGCTATGCCCATGGCCAGGACGAGCTGACGGAGTGGCTAGACCGCAGGGAGGTGCTGAAACAGAAACTGGCCAAAGCCCGCAAGGACATGCTGCTCTGCCCCAGGGATGACGACTTCGGGAAATACAACTTCCTATTGCGGGATGGCGTATAGTAAGGGTTGGAGGGGGGAGCCTCTTGGCTGGAGAAACACGGGGCGGGTATTCCGAGAGTGGCAGTAGCAGGGAGAGCGAGATCTGTGTCTCGCAAAGAGAACTTTTTATTTTATTTCGTTTTAAGATTATGAGACGATGATTTATTAGTGGTGAATGAAATCGTGAATTTGATTCTCCTTGGCCAGCGAACGCCATGCTCACTGAGTTTGTGATCCATCTTCTCTCTCTTCTTTCCCCCAAATTCTCCTTCCTCTCCTTCTTTTTGTTTTTGCTCTCCTTCATTCAAAGAAAAGAATGCTGTCTGTACTGGGCTGCAAATCGGAGAATTTCTCCTTGTGTCATTCTCCTGCTCTTCATTTCGGAGTGTGGCTGCAGAGGTCTGGAGGACAAAGCTGAGAGAAAGGGACAGACATCAGGTGAAAAGGTGACCATGAAGTTCATGTGCTCCTTTTCTCAGTGCTTCAGAACAAGCCCCGCTTACGCTGCTGCAGCCGGCCTGCTCTCCTGGGAGTTCATTACCAGAAGAATTAGGAATCGAGGTGCAAAAGAAGGAAAACCACTAATATGGTTTAAAACATCTAGGCTTAAGCTCCTGCTGTCAATCTTGCCCTAAGGCATCCACTGGCGCTGAGGAGGGTAACAGCCGTCCGGTATAAAGAGCGTAGCTAAAAGCAGCAAAGTAATAGAACTGCTTGCAGCAGCAGGAACTGCATTGTAGGTGACTTCAGACCGTTTCAGCTGACTGTACCCAGAAAGCAAATTGGTGACACCCTCATTAGATGTCTTTCTCAGTGAGTGACAGGTATTCAGGCTGGGTAGTTTGGTTTGGGTTTTCTGGCTGGTGTGACTGGTGCAAGTAAGGCTGAAGCCATCTAGAAAGTGTAGTGGAGACTGTGACACACCCTGTGTCACTGCTCCACACAGCAGTGTCAGTCAGGAGGAAGGCTGTATCCAAAAGGAGCCTGTGTTTCTGTCAGCTTGTGTTCTGAAGAGAGGGAGGGAGGTAATGGGGTTCCCTTCTTGCTCTTTAAATGTCATGTGTTACTCATTATTTAGAGCTGCGTTTTTCTGTGCTCTGCCAGAAGAACTGGGTGGGGACCCATTTAAAAAGACACTGTCGAGCAGCACGGGCGATGCTTTGCTGATGGGAATCCAGCTGGAAAGGTGGTTAGGAGCACTGGGGGTCCAGCCCCCTCCTCCTCGGAGCCCAGGCAGGGAGCTTGCGGAATCACAGCGCAGTCAGGATGTGACCCAGGGCAGGGACCGCGGTGGAGAGTGAGTGGCACAGTGGGACCCAGCCAAGCAGCTGCTCTGGGTCCTGCCTGACGTGTGCCACAATGTGGGAACCAGTGATGCTGAGCTCTGGACCAGGATTTTTGGCTTTCGTAGTGGCAGCGGTGAGAGGCAGTCCTGCTCTGCTTCCTGACGGTCTCATCCTGTGAGCAGTAAATGTGTGTCCTGTCCTGAGCTTCCCTCTCCTTCTCTCTTCTGCAGTCCAGCTGCACTCTGCAGTTTTGCATGCATGGATGGCACCATCCACTCAAAACACAAATACGTCTCCCTCCCAGCCTTTGTAGGGGATGTATTTTTCATACAGAGTCTCCCAGGACAGCAAGCTCAGAGCCCTTGGGGCTGGCAGTGCTGTATTTGTGGTAAATACAATCTGGCTGTGAACTGCCCAGATTGTACCTTCTCCTGGTGCTCCTTGTGCTCAGCGGGTCAACTTTATAAACAGAGAGAGGCAGGGGAGGAGGTAGGCATCAGCTCCTGGGTTATCTTGTCCTCCTCTTCTTGGAGGCGGAGAGGGAGCGAATGTGGATTGAGGAACGTTGGAATGTGTTTTTATTTTTAAAACGAATCTGCATCTCTAGTGTGACTCTAGCATTCGCTGCGCCGTGATTTCTCATCCGATAACTTGTTTAGGTTACAGAGTGGGTCGCTGCCCCCTCTCCCCATCTCTGCCACGAGAGCCGAGCTGCTCGGTGGGGCTTGGGAGGTTCGGGTCGGGGCCGAGGCGGGGAGAGGGCGAGCGTGTGGGAGGCGAGGGAGGCCCACGGTCACGGGGGTTGCGTCAAGTATCTCTTTTTGTTTTCCCTGATATGATAACCTGGTCTGTGGTGTTGCAGTACTTTGTCACCAGACTTGTTTTAGTGTGTATATATGTGACCCCTCCCATGAAACATATATACACAGGTATTAAATATATCGCTCTATATAATATTATATGTGTGTGGTATCAAAGGAATCTTTTAAATGAGGGTAAAGGAAAAGGACTCGGGCCAGGAAACGCAGCATCTCCAGTTTAAATATGAAGACTTTTATTTGGGTTAGGGAAAGGGAAATAACAAAGAGGGGAGGGTTTTATATAGATAGGTATAATTTTTGAGATGGGACAGGTTTCCCTGTTCAACATTTCTGAAACCCCCTAGGATGTCCTCGCAGTCCCATCTCAGTGAAAGAGTATTATACTGCTAACTAGCAAGTGAAGTTTTAATGATAAGGCTTTGCTTATATTATTTAAAGGGACATTGTGAAAGGCAGGAAGCTTCACAGTTAACTTCCCAGGCTCACTTTATCAAGCCAAGAGGGTTCTCTTCAGCACATTTTGTACTCTCAGCAGAACAGCTCAGTGCTCACGGCTCTACAGCAGATAAACCACAAGTTGTAGGGCTGCTCTAGCGGTGCATTCACAAGTCTCTGTGATAACACTCTCTTTTCATCATTGGTGTGAAAAAAGAAGAAAATTTTGCAGCGCAGAACCAAATTTGAGTGTTACTAACAAAAGAAGCAGTGTTTTAATTTTACAACATCAGAAGAAAATCTCATATTCTGTAAAACCACTGCAGACACACACACACTCACACAGAGTAGAGACTTTGATTTAGATCAACTTGTTAAATGCTGAAGGACTTAGTGAAAATCTTTTCCCAAATCCTTTGGTAGGGGCAGGGATTTACATGACACTGGTGTTGGAGTTAACCTTGCCTTTACAGGGGGAAATAAAAAAAAAAAACCAAACCAAAAAATACCCTACTTAGCTTGTATGAAACTGTATGTCAAAAATGGATGGATTTTAGCAAGTGAAAGGAAAAGATAGCAAGGGGATGCTGCAGTTCTGAGCTGGGTAGTAATGATTTAGAGTCCTTTAATATGTCTTTGTATTAATATAATTTAAGAATACCACGCTTTACTATTAAAAAAGAACTTAGTATCTTTCATAAGGTCTAGTATCAGGATAATAATGTAGATGTTTTAACAACATTTTTGTTCTTAAATAAAAAAAAAAAACAACAAACTTGCTTCTTTTAGCCTTTGTAATAGAAAATAAAAGTGTGCACTTTAAACCCTCTCCTGATCCAGTGTGTGCTTCATTTTTCAAATAACCCGCAAAGGCTTTTTATCTCCGTTTCAGGTTTCCCTGCTGTAAGGAGGAAAGCAAAGGGAGCACTTCAAGCATTGGATCCTTTTCACTTTCTCCCATCTTTAAGTATAATCTGCTGCTCTTCTTGCTGAGTGGAAAATCGCCCATGTGTGTATTAACAGATTCTGCAGTTGTTCATCAGACGTACAGTTCTGGTTAACTTTAGGTGTATTTAAGATTTTTTTTTTTTTCTTTCCCCCAAGCACCAAGAATCTACGTGCTCTGCATTAAGACATAGTTTCAGGTGTTTGGGTAACCTGTGTTTTGAAACCTCCAGTAATCAGGTCTTGTAATCACCTTCACATAGAGGTCGTTCTGCCGCTCTGTTTAACTGGGTCAGCCAGTTCTTTTGCCTGCCAGCGTCCACCCTGCCAGGGAAAATGCCCTTAGCCCTGCCCACCGAGTCGCATGCAGCTTGAGCCACGACAGGCCTCTGTGCAGATTTCCCCTGGAGACGATGCTGTGTGGTGAAGATCACACCTGAGGGAAGAGGCCAGTCTGAAAACATTTATTAATAAAACTCTTTTATTCTTTATTTTTCAAATTCATCATGGTGCAGATTAATCTGGGATTCTTGATGAAGCCAAAACTGGAGATGCGGCAAGGAAGTCCAGTGGAGACACCCTGCTACTGCTGTATAAACTGACAGAGTGACCAGAAGGTCACATCCAGTGAGCCCTGAGATTTGTTGCGCGTCCCCCCAATGTGCTGGGATACAGACACAAGGGCTCTTGTCCTTCTGCTCATAGGAGGAGAGGCCTGAACGCAAGCTTGTAGTGCAGAGGGAATGAGGAGGCCAGCGCGCTTCCAGGGTGCATCTGTTGAGTAGGTACAATGTGAGAGGCATTAGTTTTACCCTGCACAGGTTACCAAGGTCATCAGTGATTGAGGGGAGTTCTTCCAGTACAACGGGGACCACAACTGTCAAATTGTGAGGCAAACAAAGCATGAGGAGAAAAACGACAGTGTTTTGCTTGCAGGTTTGAGCCTCAGCTGTAAACCCATCCTCACCAGTGTTTCTTCATTGAAGAAAATAAACTTGTTGAAGAGACAGGGAAAGGAGCAGTGACTTCAGTATTCCAATCCTCCTAGGAACTTCTGCAGATACAAAGACAAAGGGGAGAACCCCATATCAGCCAGAAAGGATCCAGGTCTTATGGAGGATTGAGGAGAACAGGGGTAGAGACCCCTGAGAAGTGGGAGGAAGGCTTCGTACTAAAGGCCTTTAATGCTGTCACACAGCAGCCTGGCAGAGGGAGTTTGCCTTGCAAAGCCTGCAAGCTGCAAATGGGATTCCATCCCTGCCCCATCCCTGGAAGTGTTCAAGGCCAGGCTGGATGGGGCTTTGAGCAACCTGGTCTGGTGGGAGGTGTCTCTGCCCATGACAGGGGGGTTGGGAATTCAATCTTTCAGGTCCCTTCCAACTCTAACCATTCTGTGATTCCTAAGCAATTCTGTGACTGAGTGTGTCTGCCCACGCTATAGGGAAACGTTTCTGGGCAGTGACAACAGGTGATGCAAGTGCTGTCATCACTCTTAATTGTGTTTGCTGCAGCCGTTGCAACCAAGAACAGGGCCGGGTTGTGTCCTGTCCTGTGCACAGAGAGCAGCAGCCTCGCAGGAGCTGTAACCTGGGGAGGTGTGCTGGTTGCTGGCTGGGATGGAGGGTGTTTGCAAGGGGAAAACGTTGGGCAGAAAGTGATGTGCTAAATAAATGAGCAGAAAGTGATGTGCTAAATAAAAGAGAGCTGGATGGGGGTGACTGGTGGGAGAGAAGTGGAGGAGGAAAGGCTGCAGGAGCACTGGCTGGAGCAGACAGCCGTTTGGTGCAGGGCAGGGGAAGGTGCTGAACAGACTTGGTTGGGTGTCTGTAGGGTGGCTCTGGGCAGAGGTCTTGTGGACAGCTAACTCTTGGGGCTTCCTGGAAAGCCATGAGCACAGCTCAGGAGCTCTGTGCCGTGTGTTATCCAGCATCACCCTTTCTCCCTGGAATGGGATGGGATGGAGGCCCACCCATTCCAAATAACCTCTCTTCCTTCCCGGATGGATTCTTACCTCCTGCTTCTCCGCAGTTCCCTCTCCAGACAGGAATAGTGGGTCCTGGTGCCCCCAGGGAAGGGGTGGTGTTTCCAGAAAGCAGATCCAGGTGCAGCAGGGACATGAGCAAAGATAGATGAGATTATAGCTCCAGCTGACTCCTTCATTGCAACAGTCCTGGCCCTGGTAGCTCTTGAAACTGCCCCTTCCGTGATTGCTCCTCTCTGCATTTTAGCTTATGGATGGCAGCGTTCCAGAAAACTACTAATTTTTCCTGAGAGCCTTGGGAGGCACAGACACAGCAGAGAGTCCCAGGAAATAGGGTTATTTGCTACCATCTGAATTAATCCTCCTCAAAATGATGTTTACTCGGGGCTGGAATAGAAATCTCTAAACCCAGATGCCAGAGAAGATTTGGCTTGCTTGGAGCCAGAAAAATACTCAGTGCTGGAGGTACTCTGGTGTATTTCCCTTGTTCTCTGTGGATTTCCTCTGTCTGCTTTAGCTGTGGGCTTTCAGTAGTGCTGGGGCCCTCCAGGCAGATGGTCAGGAAGGATGAAGAGCTGCACAGTTTCTCTAATTGAATATCAAGGCACACTCCCCTGTTTGTACCCCAGCAAAGCTCAGAGGCAGAGAGGGGAAAGTCTTGCTTCCGCGGGAGCGAGATGGCCTTAGTTTTCCTCAGCCAAACGGCTTGAGGATAATTGCAACGCGGCAGGACGTTGACCCTGGGAGCTGCGGTGAGGATTCAATACAGAAGCACTGTTTCAAAAGAGGCTTTCAGCAGCCTGGATCTTCTCCTGCTCAAGACCCAAGTTTTCATATCTTGGCATTTGGGGATCAGGAGCAGCCAGATTGCCCTGACTTCTAGGGGATTGGTTGTCTTTCAGCCCGCATGCCTTCCCCAGGCTCAGCTGGCTCCTGGATCTGTCCACTGGGCTCTGACCTCTTGGATCATGGTGCCACAGGATCCCTGCTCCTGCCTGGGGCCACACTGTTCCCAGGAGAGGTGAGTGAAGGACAGATGAGGTCTTTAGAGCCAGCCTCTGTGTCTTGAGAAGGAGGCAGCCGGAGGAGCGCTTATCTTCCTTGCTGTCCCACCCAACGGTCTCTCATAGACCCTAGAGGGGGGCCCAGCAATCACTGTCATTGGATTTCCCCATTCTGCTTTAAACACCTTGGTTTATTGCTGCTCTTGGCACCTTCTGGGCTCTGCGTCATGCCAACGCTTGTTGAGAGAGCTCCCAAAGCCAGCTCTGCCCAGGCTCCCGGAGCGTTTCTGGAGCAGGGTATTGCACAAAGGCAGCTCTAGGTGTCCTTCCTGCCCAGGGCAGCACAACTTCTGGTGATCCCAAGAGTCTTTCTCACGTTTTCTCCCTCCCTAGCACCTAGTTTTCTGGCAAATGGCATCTCACAGGGGAAGGCCACGTGCAGAGGAGCAGAGCTGTGTTGAGCCCGGCTGCCACGTGAACACCCTGAGAAGGGGGGGATATCTTGGCAGGAGTGTTGGGGAAGCAAAGCTCATTAGCTTTTTGGCACTCATTTTGGCCAATTATTTTTTAGAAATCCTTTTGCCTCAGGCAGGAGATGCAGGCGGTTCCTTCCACTGAGCTGCACCGTCCGCTCGGGGATCCTGGCGCTGCTTCTCCACACAGGGAGACACGCACGTATGTACACATACGTATGCACTGTATGCATGCAATGCCCTGCCCCAGGAAGGGACACCCCCTTTAGAGTTGGGAAGGAGGCTCAGTGCAAGGCCTCATCAAACCTGTGTGTCTGTGTCTCACCTTGATACCGTCAAAAGTACTTAAAGGGTCACGTGCCCACACTTCAGGTGCCAGGCAGAGTCTTTAACCAACACAGAGCCCCACTCCCACTTTTACCACCCTCCCACACAGGCTTCTTCCTTCTCCCACCTCATTTTTTTTTTTTTCAAGTAATGTGCTGTGGATGCAGACACCTCTGGTCTGGCCACAGCTTTCCCTGCTGCTGCTGTTCTGAGTGTCCTTGTAGCTCCATAGATGTCTGCTGCCACTAGCAGTAGCATCTCACCCCTGTAGAAGACAAGGTGCTGGGATGTGGGGCAAGCACACTTTCAAAAAGGCCACAGTGAAACTGAGCTTGCTGGCCAAGGTGAACAAAATTCCCTATCAAGCCCAAAGTACCATGCAAATAAATAGTTAAATATGGCAGCTGTCAGCGGCGTGTGCATTTGTCCAAGGAGCTAGTATAACAAAAAATCATAGATGTCTGCAAAGAGGCAGTGGCTGACCTCTGGTAAAAGGTTTGCTTGGATAAAAGAAGAAAGAGGAAACCACTTACCACGCCAGGTTTGCTGCAAGAACCAATCCCCATGGGTGGGCCTGGAGCCTTCACACAGACCACGAAGAATAGGTCTGGAACCTGGAGGAGAAGACATCCCTGTGTGAGGTGATATGGAAATTTCTGAATAATAGCTGTGGTGCTAAGGTGAATGGTCTCGACTGACTGAAAAAAAGAAAGTTGTTTCAAGAGCAGCAGTACTTGTAAAGCTTCTAGCATTTTCTTCAGAGTGTTGTCCTTATTTCCACATACCTTCTATAAGGAAGAAGTAACCTTCCTTATCTGTCACCACAAAATCCCATCAGTAGTACTGGCTTCTTCCTCTCCCCTCACAATTACCTGTCAGGGGCAGCATGTGCTTTGGGGCATTGGCTGCCAATGCACGTGCCCCAACTCAAACAACAAATAACAGGAGGTTTTCTCACTGAAGAGGCATTAATTTGACTCTCTCTTCTTCTTAGTTTATGTTTCAAATATAAAAAGATATTTACATATAATTATCACTTTGCCAAAATGAGTAGCCAGTTCTAAGGAGTGATGGATGGGTGGATGGATGGGTGGGTGGATGGATGGATGGACAATGCTGTTGTGTAAGCTTTGTGTCCTTAGAAAATGAGACAAAAAAAGTTTTTTATTTTCTAAAATATTTCTATATTATTTCCATTAGATTATCAAGCCTTTTCTTTTTATCTGAGGAAACTAAGATTACAGCAATTAGTAGTAATAACCATTCATGCCTTTCTTTGGTTAAATGTCACTGCTGCTGGTGATTTCCCTGCAAGCTGTGCTTTCAGACACCTGTAATAAACAATTAAGTTTCCTTCTATTAATGGTGGCCTCAGAAATTGGTGTGCAGCCAGGTGCCACCACCAGGTAGAAGACTCACAGAGACAATTTGCAGGAGTTTTGGCCAGAGGAGCCACCCAGCTGTGCCACTGTCTCTTGTTTCAGGGCTGAGGGTGGCTGCAAGACACCAGCAGGAGAGGAAACAGTGGAAAAGCAGATCCATAAGTGCTGTGGATGTGGCCCTGTGAAGGAGTTGAGGGAGCACTCTTGGAGCTGAGGGAAAAATGGCAACTTGGAGAGGTGCACAAAGAGCCCCCTTGCCCAGCTCCTTGTACTTGAACAGGGTTGTATCAGAGAAGTCTTAATGTCCAAAATGATCTCTTTGGGTCTCACACTGCCGTGAAGGCTGTACCTACCAGTAACATCTGAGCAGTGGTGCTCTGCAGTTCCAGGTGCACTTCAAGCCTGATGACAGATCTCCATAGAGAGATCCCTCTAAAGACAAGAGTAGAATTAGGGGTTTTAAAACCCCTGGTTTTAAATGTCCTGGTACCAATAGAAGTAACAGAGCCCTACAGAGAGGTGAAGTGGGGAGGCGGGGGGGAGCAAGGTACAAGAATTTGGTTGTGCTTAAAAAAAATGCAACTCTTTGGAATGAAAATGTAAAAGGAGGGAGAAAATGGACCAAGGCAAATGTTGAAGGACCCCCACTCCTCCCCTCAGGACTGTGTGCAGCCATGGCACTGCTGAACATGCTCCTCAGGCAAGTGTGTCGAGGGACCCAGCAGCACTGCTGGCGGTGTGGGTAGCTACACTGGAAGGCCTAGAGAAAAGACACTGAAGATAGCCCTGACCTCTGCCATTTAAATTTATGTTCCCAGAGTTTGGCCCTCTCCATCAGGTTAGGTTCCCCCTTCTTTGTGCTACCCACTTAGGGCCAGCATAAGTTGGCTATAGCTGGTTGAGTCTGTGAGAAAACACACTGCTAAGGGCTGACTGGGTTTCTGAATGATGGAGCAGAGCTGCTGAGACTTCCACTAACATGGGATTACAGTAATAATAAATAACAATCTGGTCTAGTAACAGTGCAGCCAGCACAAATGATGCAACCTGTGGCCATGCCTGCAGCTTTCCAGAGCCAACATTTCAACTTTGTTCTCTAAAGCAGCTCAAGCACTCTCCTTGGCGGGACACAAGGGCAGAGGGACACTCCCCACTGCTATGACTCTGCTCTACAGAGCATGGTTTCTGCTTCCCCAGGGCTTGAAGTCAGAGCAGCGGTTATGCATCCTACTACTGATGTTACCCAAGCTCTTCTCCTGGGCGGGAGCTTGATTTTCAGGGATTATGAATCAAGAAGGACACATGTTGGCAGGAGACTTTGTGGACATGACAAATACAAGATGTTATATGTGCTCTCAGATCTCTAAAAAAAAACCCAAAACCTTGTAGATGTCCATTGCAGGCTAATAATTCAAAATGCTAAGTGAGAATTTCTTCTCAATGAACTTCATTTTCTGAAGCCGTGTCAGTCAACTGCTGCAGCAGCTGCTATGAAGTCCTTCTGTGCCTCCAGACATGCAGTCAGATGTTTGTCCAGCTTTCAGGGTAAGTTGGAGCCTGGGGCAAAACCAGGAGGTCCAGTTACACCTGGCATTGGGCAGCTACCACATTCCCAGTCACTTTACCTTGTCATCATTTGACGAGAAGAAGGTCTAGGCATATATGACAATAGCTCTCCCAAATGTTAGCAATGCCTGGCAGGACTGAGTGATCCCACTCCATTTGCCTTGGCCAGCCGGAATCGATCAGAAGATTTTGAGAAAGGACATGGAAGTCCTGGCTGGCAGGGTGTGCTCCAGGAGGGAGCGATCACTTTTCTTGCTCCCAGCGGCCAGAATCCACTGACTTTCAAGAATGTTTGCAGAGTCTGTCTACCGGCTCCAGGTTTGGGTGGGTGGAGGACACCATAACGGCCTGGGGTTAGTAGGGGGCCATTCTCCTGAAATGGCTTCACCACTGATGGTTATCACTGTCTGCTTTCTTACATTCTCTCTGAGAGTGTGTGGGGAGCAAACCACAGGGAAAACCCCAAGAAGTTGTAATGCAGTTGTATCGTAATTAAGGATTCTAACAGAGCATCTACCTTGTGATTTCTGAGCCTGATTATATTGGGATATAGATCATGAAACTTCCCCAGCTAATCTGAAATTCCCAACCACCCAGCCTGGCTAGGCAATTCTTTCCTTTTGGTTTTCGTGGAGTAAACCAAATGCATTTCCTTATGGGACTAAACACCACGCCGTCAGGAATGAGCAAAACCCTATCACTTTTTCTCTAAATCCTGGGCCAGTGAAATGCTCCACATTAGAAACAAGAAAAATCCTTCTGACTTCACTCAGTCCACTTTCATGCTCAGAGCCACGCACAGTTTTGCTGGGCTATCCCCAAGAGCTGGGGCTTACAGACCAGTGTAGGAATAATCCGGTTCCTATCAACTTGTACCGGTGCTGTAAGGATGTAAGGCAAAATGGACAGGACCAAACTGTGAAATAAAGGCACTTCTCAGTGAAAGAGAAGACCCCAGCATATGTAAGATGCTCCTTCCCAAGCCAGATCCTGATGAAGAAGATCAGACCTTTATCTTCCTGTCTCCAGTCCATCCCTTCACGCTAAAAAGCTTCACTAAGAGGAGAGGAGGGGCTTTGCATGATGAAGGTCTTACTTAACCAGCTGTTATCAGAGTATTTGCAGGCTGCGTGAACTCTCTTGCCTTACATCGTTGCTCCAAGAGGAGGCTGTCGGCTTTCTGATAAAACTCTGTGCCACTTATGAAGAGAAATTCTGGACTTTTGGGATGATGCGCACTTGATAAGAAAGATGCCTTACGCCGTTATCAATACTGACTTAGAGGGAGGGACGCAGGGTAAGGGTTGCATTATATACAAGTGTTGTCACTATCTGCAGCTCAGAGAGCTGAAAAGTTCGCAGGCAGATGCAGACAGCGTGTGTACCTCCACGGGGCAGCCTGAGCAGCTCAGAGCTCCTCACAGCCTCCCTTCAGAAGATCCCTCTCCTGCTGTTTGCAGCCAACGCGTGTACCCCTGACAGCGTGCACTTGCTGCTTTTTTTTTTCCCCACGGCGTGTATATTTGTTATAACACCTTGGGAAGGAAAAGGGTGCTGCCTTTGCAAAGTTAGATAACTGGCCCAGTTCTTTGCTGCCGGATTGGCTGGGAAAGGGCCTGTAAAACCACGCTGGCCAGCCGCCTGGCCCAGCCCTGCGAGGCTGCAAGCTATTTCCACAATTGGCCACTTCAGAGTGGGAGAGGGGGAGGTGAAGACAGCCAGGCAAACTGCATCTCCGCCAGGCTCCTTCCTTTCCTCCTTGTTTTTACTCTCAGCCGGAGTAGTTTGGCAAGCCCGCTGCGGGTGCCCCCGAGCCCTCCTCACAACACCCAGGGCGGTGGGGTGTAGCGTTGGCGGCCAGGCACCTGGCCATCCCTTAGCCGTGCTAGCGCAGTCCCAGGACAGGACATGTCAAGCTGCAACAGTCCCGGGGGCCCCACTGCCCTGGACTTCCCTGAAGTCCTGAAGTCCCTGCTGGAGTACTCCTTACCCTGGACCAACAAGATGACAGGTAGGATTGAGGGAACGCATGCTGGGGTTTCTGGTTTGATTTCTCCTTCCACTCCTTAAATTGACAGGCGAGAAGCGGGCAGAAGATCCTGTTTGCTGCAAGCCCTTCAAGGGTGTGTTTCCCCCAAGTGTCCAAGTCAGACAGGGAGTTCTGGCACTGAGTGTGTTGTGCAGCTAGGAGGAAAAACGGCAGCAATGGATTGATTACAAAATCAGTCAAGAGTGCTGAGCTCCTGATCCTTTTAATCTCTGTGCTCAGCTACTTCTTGGAAACCCTCAAAGCTTTGTGCACAGAGGAGGCTTGGGCACAAATCTCTGTGCTCACGTAGCAATCCTGGAAGTCACTCCTGTCCAGGTTGTCCCATGGTTAATAACTGCTGAGCCTCCAGACACTGCTTCTTCCCAGATGTAGGCTGTCCAGGGAGCCTGGCATGCGTGATGCAGGCTGACTATGTGCAAACTTTGTGTTTGATGCTGCAGTTGTTTATCAGTGGAAAGCTGGGGTAGGGAACACATAAAATGTTGTGTTTTCTTTGCAAGAGCACTTCTGTACTCTTAGGCTTTCCTGCTATCTGTGCAGTGTCCTAGAAAACAAATGGAAAGGACCCAAGAGGTTATTTAGTCTGGGCTTCTGCAGTGCTGAAAACTTTGTGCTTGCTGGACTGACCACTTCTCTATTCCTGGGCATGCTCCAAGTGCCCATAGCACAACTCAGGGACCCTCTGGTTTTCGATAGGATGCCACATGCCCTTGGCAAGCTGCTTTTTGTTTGTTGTGTTTTGATGTTCACTGACAAGTTCCGGGGAGGTGTGTGGGAATACCTTGGCTCAACAAGCTCATGTCTAGGCACGAGTGAGTTGAACTCATAGAAGCAAACATGCACTGAGCTGGCTCCTCTGCAGTGAGTTGCTACCAGGACATGCCGACGGCTCGGCAGTCCTGAGGGGCAGCATGATCCAGGAGGTGGGAGCAGAAAAGTCAGATGCACAAAGTAGAAAGGGACCCAGCTCTTGCTCTGGAGTCAATGGGAGAAAAGGCTGCTGCTGCAGCAGTAAAGCGTTCCTGGCAGGAAAGGCAGCTGCCTATACCTGCTGGAGTACAGGGAGCCCTTGGCACTCGCATAGCTCACGGTGGGAAAGGGGTTAATAGGGCAAGGGGAGCTGCCATACCCGCTTAAGGGGCTCATTTTGTCACATTGCTCTGCTGAGGCCACCTGTGAGCTGGCTCTCTCCTTTGCTGAGACTTTGCCCATTAACGGGTGTGTTTACATATCACACAGTAGGAAGCTGTGTGTGGGGACCAGGGCATGTTTTCTGAGCTAATTGATACCCAGGTAGAAAGCAGACCTGGCTGGGAGGAGGCAGTAATGGCCAAGGGAGACTCATGTGGTGTAGAGCCTTGCTGTGGCTAAGCTGAAGTTTGGCTGCCTTTCTGGATCTCTGGCCTCCACAGCCAAGTGGATTGAATTAATCCAAGGGAGGAGTGCTGGCAAGATTTATCTGTTTGGCACAAGTTGAAGTGGGGGGTAAAGGGGGAATCAATGATTCGCAGAGGGAATCATTTAGTCTTAACTCAGTATGGCTTATTTGGCAGCTGAGAGTGCTGTTTCGTGGCAGCTTTCTTCTTCAGCCCCAGGACCACCCTGCCTCTCAGTATCACCTCCCGTAACCCTTGGAATTGTCCTTATTATGCCACCTCCCTTCCCTGGCCAGTGTTCCTGTCATAGCCCTCTTCCCACAGAGCTCAGTTCTCTCCTCCTGGATCTCCATACCTATACACCACTCATCTGGATTTGCTGAGTCTCAGGCTTCTGTCTGAAATGTGTTCTGCTATTCAGACCTCCCAGTGGGGTTTAATGTACATGTTCCCCCTGACCTGTGCCTAGTGCTGGGCTGCTTCTTGCTTGCCTCCCTGCTGCATCAGAGCTGGGCCGTTCTGCGTCATCTGGCCCTGACAAGACTCCCAGCAGTAGCAGCCAAGGCCATGGCATTCCTCTCTTCACATCTCATTGTCCTCCTCTTCCTTCTCAGCTGCAGACCAAAAGAGAAATTGTAAAAATCCAGGCAGATCCCATCTTAACCAAGAAGGTACAGCTCATGGTGCAGTGCCCGCTTTCTGCTGGCAGTGGTTTGAGCCCCTAATCCCCAGAGGAGGCCAGAAAAAGCTCTCAGAGCAACCTCCCTCCTTGCTGGGAGGGCAGAGCTGATGCCCAAGCAGGGTGCTGTGAGAGGGAACCCACAGGAATGCTCCCCAGGAACTCCCTCCCGCCTTCAGGCCAAGCAGCTAACACTGTACAGGCTTAAACCGTCTCCAAGCACAGTCACAACCCAGTGGTGGTGCACAACAAACCTTAGCACAGTGGAGTGTGGGTGGAAATGTGCTGGAGGAAGAGCATGGTGGATCTAAAGGGAAGAGCCCTGGAGTAAAGGCTGCTGAGTGGTTTTAATAACCTCCATTCATATGGACGTTACCCAGCAAAGCAGTTGGCATTTGAGATCTGCAGGGGGGGAGGCACACAGAGCCTGTTCCTTGAAGTAGTGTTGTACAGTACTGAGACATAGTGACATCCCCGGGGGCTTCCAGCGTCAACAACAATGGAACAAAGCGACTATGAGAGCCGTAACTGAATGGGAAGCCTGCGGCCTGCCCACTTTGGCTACATCCCCTCGTCCTGTTCCTAGAAGCTGCTCCTTCCTGAACTCACTAGGTTGTGTTCTCCTACAACTTGCTGTTTCCCAGGCAAAAGCACCCCTGCGAGCCCGCTGCCCCTTGCCAAACTGTGTGTGCTGCCTCTGTCATGTGTGGTCCAACATCTGTGTTTCATTGCCCCATGTGAAGTGGCATCTCCCTTTCACGCATGTGCTTTTTTCTTCTGCCAGCTGAGCTTGGCATGGCAGAGGGAGTCCGCAGAGGGCGAGCAGCAGCCCTGGAGCTGGGCAGTGGAGCATGACCTGTTCTGCCTGCTTCTTGCAGCTGGATTTATCAGCCTTGATAAACGATGCATTAAACCGTGCTGTTCCAGCCTCTGACCCACCGCCTGTATTAACAAGGTGGCCCTTTTCCCAGCTCCCTGTTGGGCAGCATGCACGCAGGAGTTGCGTCAGGAGTCCCACCCCTGTCCCCTGCGAAGGAGGTGGCAGATTCAGCCTCCCAGCCTACGCAAGAGAAGTAGCTGGCAGGTAGGGCAGCTCTCTGTCTGGCGGGGTTGGATGGAGGCGTCCCCAGGTCCTTGTTGTAGTAAGGCAACAGGGGAAAGCACCTACCCCATGCGACTTCCAATCTGTTCCTTTTCCTGGGGAGCACAGGGAGGAATTCAGACATGATTTTGTGTCACAAAGACCATCAGGGTTTATTAGCAAGGGTCAGGTCAAATTGGGCCTTGCAACCACAATGAAACGTCTGAGGTTTGTGGAAGAGCAGCTGAACCAAGCAGATGCCCAAGTGTCTACCCGGGAAGAAGCGGTCCCTTTTCTGCTGGCACTTAGAAGGACATCTCTGCCCTGGCACCTGTGGCTCTGTTGGGTGCGGATGGGACCATCCCAGGGAGGTTGCCCACCCTTTCCTTTCCCTGCTCACAGTGCTATGCGGTAGGTTTGCTTCGGCCGGCCCTTCTGCGGCAAGAGGCAGCAACTGCTGATGGGAGAAGCTTGTGGCTGTAGCGTCTGTCACTTCTGCGAGCTTATTCGTTCTGCAGGAGAAGCTCCTCTGTATCCGCCTGTGCTCTTGGGGATGAACTCGGCAACACCTTCTCCCTTTGTGTGTTCAGAAGCTTAAATCCCAGCATGACATCCCTGTTGCTGGAAGAGGTGGACCGGCTGGGGAATTGCAAGGAATCGCTTGTGATCATGAGAACTTGGAGAGGCACCCCCTCCCCTCCTCCAGCTTCCCAGCCACGCCAGCAGCCACAGTGAGGTCCTTCTCCCTGCTAACGCTATATAGGGCACGCTGCTGCGGACATGATGTAGGACAGGAGGAGATTAAGCGCAGGTCATGTGGGAAAGGTGATCTCGAGACCCTAAACGAGGATATTTAAGGGCCGGCTGGATCCCTGGCACCGGCTGAGGCGCTTACGCGACCTCCGGGCCCGCCGCCCTCCCGCGCCGTACGGCTTGCCCCGGCGGTCGAGCCCAACCGGACCGAGCCCGGAGCCGGGGCCGAGGCAGCAGGGAGCAGCGCTACGGCTGAAAAGCGGCTCCTCGGCGCCGCGCAGCCCGAGCCGCCCACACAGTCCCCTCAGCCGGTAACGGTCGCCTCGAGCAGCGGCCCGGGGGGCGAGGGGGGGGCTCATGCGCACGCGCAGAAGCGGCGCCCAGGAGGCGAGTGGCGGGCGCGCGCCCCGCGGCAGGCGCTGCTCCTCCTCCGCCGCCCACGCGCGCGCTTGCCCGTCCTCCCCCCCCCCTCGCCTTCAGGAGCAGCTGGCGGTGACGCGGGAGGGGGGCGGGGCTCCACATGCTAACGAAGTGCCGCAGCCGGCCCCCGCACGTGCCCCGGCGGGCGGAGGG